GTATGAAGGTTAAAGAGGTTTGAGACCTTAGGTGTTCACGTTTCTCCAGAAAATAGATTTTTTATAGGGGGTTTGTCCACTAATTAAGTGGTATATAAAATTTAAATAAACTATATGTTCGAAAATTTTAAATGATGTCCATGTATCATGAAAATAAATTTAAAATACACTCATATAATTTTAGAATTTGATTAGGAAAGTTTTTACCAATAATAAAGAGTCAAAACTTCTTAATAAAGCATTTATAATAAAACTAGATTTTCTGTAGGTGTTAACCCACATATTTTGAGAAAAATTAGAAAATATGAAATTTTTTGGTTTTAATGCATATTTTCATCCTTCACTGACATATTATAAAGGTTAAAGAGGTTTGAGACCTTAGGTGTTCACGTTTCTCTAGAAAATAGATTTTTTATAGGGGGTTTGTCCACTAATTAAGTGGTATATAAAATTTAAATAAACTATATGTTCGAAATTTTTAAATGATGTCCATGTACCATGAAAATAAATTTAACATACACTAATATAAATTTAGAATTTTATTAGGTAATTTTTTACCAATAATAAAGAGTCAAAACTTCTTAATATAGCATTTATCAAAAAACTAGATTTTCTCTAGGTGTTAACCCACATATTTTGAGAAAAATTAGAAAATATGAAAATTTTGTTTTAATGCATATTTTCATCCTTCACTGACATATTATAAAGGTTAAAGAGGTTTGAGACCTTAGCTGTTCACATTTCTCCAGAAAATAGAGTTTTTAGAGGGGGTTTGGCCACTAATTAAGTGGTATATAAAATTTAAATAAATTACATGTTGAAAAATTTGAGATGATTTCCATGTACCATGAAAATAATTCTAACATACATTAATACAAATTTATAAAGTGATTGGGTAATTTTCATAAACAGTAAAGAGCCAAAACTTCTTAATATAGAATTTATCAAAAAACTAGATTTTCTGTAGGGGTTAACCCACATATTTTTAGAAAAAATTAGAAAATATGAAAGTTTTGTTTTAATGCATATTTGCATCATTCGCTGACATAGTATGAAGATTAAAGAAGTTTGAGACCTTAGGTGTTCATGTTTCTCCATAAAATATGATATTTTGTTTTAATGCATAATTTCATCATGCACTGGCATATGATGAAGATTAAAGAGGTGTGTGATTTTAGTTGTTCTTGTTTTTCCAGAAAATACAAATTTTATAGACGTTAGTCCACTAAATTAGGTGAAATATGAGGTTTTATTAAATTATTCACTAAAATATTAAAAAAGATCCCCATGTACCATGAAAATAAATTTAACATACACTAATTTAAATTTAGAATTTGATTAGGTATTTTTTATCAACAATAAAGAGCCTAAACTTCTAAATTTAGCATTTATCAAAAAACTCAATTTTTCGTAGGGGTTAACCCACATATGTGATTGAGACCTTAGGTGTTCACATTTCTCCAGAAAATAGACTTTATTTATAGGGGGTTTGCCCACTAATTAAGTGGTATATAAAATTTAAATAAATTACATGTTGTAAATTTTGAGATGATTTCCATGTGCCATGAAAATAATTCTAACATACATTAATACAAATTTGTAATGTGATTGGGTAATTTTCATCAACAATAAAGAGCCTAAACTTCTTAATATAGAATTTATCAAAAAACTAAATTTTCTCCAGGGGTTAACCCACATATTTTGAGAAAAATTAGAAAATATGAAAAAAAAAAATTTAATGCATATTTGAATCATTCACTGACATAGTATGAAGGTTAAAGAGGTTTGAGACTTTAGTTGTTCATATTTCTCCAGAAAATAGAATTTTTTTTATATGGGGTTTGTCCACTGATTAAGTGGTATATGAAATTTAAATAAATTACCAGTTGGAAAATTTGAAATGATGTCCATGTACCATGAAAATAATTTTAACATACATTAATACAAATTTAGAATTTGATTGGGTAATTTTCATCAACAATAAAGAGCCTAAACTTCTTAATATAGCAGTTATCGAAAAACTCGATTTTTTGTAGGGCTTAACCCACATATTTTGAGAAAATTAGAAATTTGAAAATTTTGTTTTAATGCATATTTGCATCATGCAGTGGCATAGTATGGAGATTAAAGAGGTTTGAGATGTTAGGTGTTCATGTTTCTCCATAAAATAGAGTTTTTGCAAGGGGTTTGTTCACTGATTAAGTGGTATATGAAATTTGAATAAATTACATGTTGGAAAATTAGAACTGATTTCCATGTACTAGGTAAATAAGCTTATCATACATTAATATAAGTTTTGAGTGTGTTTAGGTATTTTTGAATAGCACGAAAGAGGATAAACTTTAGTATATATAGCATTTATTGGAAAACTCAATCTTTTCGTAGGGGTTAACCTACATATTTGAAAATAAATTAGAAAATATGATATTTTTGTTTTAATGCATAATATCATCATGCACTGGCGTATGATGAAGATTAAAGAGGTGTGTGACCTTAGTTGTCCATGTTTCTCCAGAAAAATACAGATTTTATAGGAGTTAATCCACTAATGCACTGACATGTGATGAAGATTAAAGAGGTCTGGGAGTTTATTTGTCATTTTTCTCCAAAAATACAGATTTTATAGGGGTTAGTCTACTAAATTAGGTGGAATATAAATTTTTATTAAAGTAATCATTAAAATATTAGAAACGATCACATGTACCATGAAAATAAGTTTAACATACAATAATATAAATGTATAATGTGATTAGGAAATTTTTTAATCAACAAGAAATAGCCTAACCTTTTGTATATAACATTTAACGGAATAACTTGATATTTATGTAGGGGTTAAGCCACAAATGTCAAAATAAATTAAAAAATAAATATTTTTCTTTTAATGCATAGATTTATTCAGAACATATATAGGATGAAGATCAAAGATATATAATACCTTTTTGTCTCATTTTCTCTAGAATGTATAGATTTCATAGGGTTTAGTTCTTAGATTTAGGTGGTATAAGAGTTTTATTAAATTACTCGTTGGAAAATTATAAGTGATGCTCATGTACCATGAAAATAAATTAGCATACATTAGTATTAGTTTTTAATGTAGTTAGATATTTTAAAAATATACTAAAGAGTCTAACTTTAAGTACAAATTGCATTTATCGGAAAAACTCAATCTTTTCGTAGGTTTTTGGAATTTTTGTATTTTTGCATAGATACATCCAGCTGATATAGGATGAATATCAAAGAGTTTGAGAACTTAGTTGTCTACATTTCTCTAGAAAATAGAAATTTCATAGGGTTTAGTTTATTGATTTTGGTGGTATATGGAACTTTATTAAATTCCTCTGTTAAAAATTAGAATTGATTCTCATGTACCACGAACATAGGTTTAGTACATTAATATATTTTTTGAATGTGGTTAGATATTTTTAAACAAACTAAAGAGGCTAAACTTTAGTATGTATAACTTTTAACGGAAAACTCAATCTTTTTGTAGGGGTACCTACATATTTGAAAATAAATTAGAAAATTTGGTATTTTGTTTTAATGAATAGATGCATCATGCACTGACATAGTATGGATATTAAAGAGCTTTGAGACATAACATGTTTCCGTTTCTATAGAACATAGAAATTTTATAGGGATTAGTACACTAATTAGGTTGTATATGAAGTTTAATTAAATTACCCGTTGAAAAACTAAAAATGATGTTCATATATCATGAATATATGTTTATCATATATTAATATAAATTTAGAGTGTGGTTAGGTATTTTTAAAACAACATTAATGAGGCTATTTGTACATATAGCATTTATTTGAAAAAACTCGATCTTTTGGTAAGAATTTAAAATATGGTATTTTATTTTAATGCATAGTTTCATAATGCACTGACATGTGACGAATATTAAAGAGGTCTGGCATTTTATTTGTTCTTTTTCTCCAAAAATACAGATTTTATAGGGATTAGTCCACTAAATTAGGTGGAACATAATTTTTTATTAAAGTAATCATTAAAATATTAGAAACGATCTTATGTACCATGAAAATAAGTTAAACATACATTAATTAAATGTATAATGTGATTATGAATTTTTTTAATCAATAAGAAATAGCCTAACATTTTGTATATAACATTTAACGGAGAAACTCGATATTTATGGAGGGGTTAAGCCACAAATGTGAAAATAAATTAAAAATAAATATTTTTCTTTTAATGCATAGATTCATTCAGCACATATATAGGATGAAGATAAAAGATGTCTAACACATTTTTGTCTCATTTTCCTAGAATATATAGATTTCATAGGGTTTAGTTCTTTGATTTAGGTGGTATATGAGTTTTATTAAATTATTCGTTGGAAAATTATAAATGATCTCCATGTACCATGAAAATAAATTTAGCATATATTAGTATAAATTTTTAATGTGGTTATATATTTTTAAATATACTAAAGAGTCTAACTTTAAGTACAAATTTCATTTATCGAAAAAACTCAATATTTTTGTATAACACCCATAGATTTTAAGAAAAAAACTGAAAACTTTGGATTTTTTGTATTTTTGTATAGATACATCCAGCATTGATATATGATAAATATCAAAGAGTTTGAGAACTTAGTTGTCTAAATTTCTTTAGAAAATAGAGATTTCACAGAGTTTAGTTTATTGATTTTAGTTTAAATTCCTCCTTTGAAAATTAAAATTGATTCCCAAATATCATGAACATAAATTTAGTACATTAATATGATTTTTGGAACGTGGCTAAATATTTTTTAAAATAAAAATAAAGAGGCTAAACTCTAATATATATAACTTTTATCGGAAAACTCAATCTTTTTATTAGGGTAAACCCACATACACTATTTGAAGATAAACTAAAAAATATGGTATTTTTGTTTTAATGCAAAGCTCCACATACACTATTTAAAGATAAACTAAAAAATATGGTATTTTTGTTTTAATGCAAAACTACGTTATACACCAGCATAGTATGCATATTAAAGAGCTTTGAAACCTAACATGTTTTCATTTCTCTAGAAGATAAAAAATGTTTCAAAATGTTTTCATTTCCCTAAAAGATAAAAAATTATAGGAGTTAGTCCCCTAATTAAATCAATAATTAAATCGTACATGAAATATAAATAATTGTTGGTTTCTTCTCACTATACACACAACAATCAATAGTTTTTACACAAAACTGTAATCACAGTAACACACAAGCACACATCAATATATATACACAAATCTATCTCAATAAAGTCTCTCCTCTCAGCTGCTTAAAACTCTGAAGTCATATACAAAAGCCGCGTTAAAGACAAGAGATTATATGTTTCGTCATCATCAGGTTCACAACAGTATCAACCATCCAACAGACTCCTCAAGCTACGAAAAGCCTCAGGCGTAAGGCTACAACACCGTTTCTTCTCCAACGAGACCACTGCCTCATCCTCTCGGTCTACCGTCACAAAACACACCACAACCGCTGTTAAGTTATCAAACGTGTTCAGCCTCAGAGCCTCCATCACAAGCTCTCTCGCACATCTCGTGGGATCACCATGCCGGTTTAAGCCACGCTTTACAATACTAACCGCTTCTTGGCTCGTCAAAACATCCCAAATGCCATCACACCCTATCACAAGAAACTCGTCTTCCTCGGTTAGTGTTATCTGCTTGATCTCAGGTTCTGAAATAAGTGGAGATTTAGAGCCGTGTGGACGTTTCATGTCCCAGTCACCGAGAGCTCTTGTTACAGATATCTCTCCGTTTAAGTAACCGTCTTCAATAACACCTCCAGATTCTTCTACTCTTCTTCTCTCAGGTAGATTGATCGGTCTATGGTCATGAGACATCTCTATAGCTTTGCCCTTTCTGCAAAGAACTGCTCTACAGTCTCCAGCGTTTGCAACCACTAAGAGCCTTCCGGAGATAAGAGCTGCAAGAGCCGTGGTACCAGAGGAAGAGCTGATGGTGCAATCCTCAGCCAAAGCTAGATCCGCTTGTAGAAACGCGTTTCTTAACGAACTCTTGACGTCTTCAATATAAACACTGTTCACTTCAGATGTCTGTGGGAAGTTATCATCTTCAAATACAAGCCTGATGGCGTTTTGACGTACGTATGTTGCTGCTTCTGATCCTCCATGACCATCAAAAACCTAAATAAATAAAGTCAAGTCAGGTTCTAATTTTCTAACAACAATTATAATTTTTTTGTTAAGGAAGTAAAGATATGTTACCGCATAGAAAGCACTAGGCTTTGGCAATTCGAATAGACACCCAAGTTGGGAAGATAGATCATCTACGCAGATGTGTTCGTCTTCCATGGATCTCTTTGGCCCTATATCAGCATAGCTTCCAGACCGGATGGTTGGAACATAAACCGGGACACTAGAATCGCAATTATCCTCCTGTTTTAGACCCCAAAAAGTTATATTTTAAATTGATAACAAACATTAATCAATAAATGGAAAGTACAGATCCAAAAACGGTAATAAAACTCATGCTCAGTTGATAATAATAGTAATAAAGACAAACACATCAATAACTACCAAAGTCAGTTAATTTGCAAAGATTCCGAGACAGCAAAAGCATCTAACTATCTGATACTACAACACACACAAACATACATGAACAAGGTCTTGTCCTAAAGCTTAAGCTACAAAGATCGTTTCGTTTTCCTATAAAGGCATCTTCTTTAACGAATCTAAATAATCACCTAACTACCAATAAATTCGAGTTAATTGCTAACTATAGACGATTAGCTTCTTTAATTCTATTAGAGAAGAAAACAATTTAAACATGTCGGAAAGGTTAGTACTTACCACCGGAGAAGTCGATAAACCGCCGGAAACCGTCGTTGTAGATCGACGGATACCCAATTTAGGAGATGAAAGTGGAGATACGACGGCGGCGGAAGAAACTCCATCAATATCTAGAACCACCGGTAAACTCTGTTGAAACACAACCTCTGCTTCTGCTACCATATCTCTCTCTCTCTCTCTGTTTCTTCACAATCAATTTAACTTTTTCACAGTTATAACAAGATCAACTCTTACAATCTTTTTTACTCAAAATCACCGTTCGTTTCGTTTTCTTGTGCTCGAAGTAGAATTGACAAATTCGAAGTTAGTTAGCGTATTTATTTTTTCCTCTCGAAGACGAAAATTCTCTGACCAGTTTGCCTTCCTCTGTTTTTTATTTATATACGACGAAGACAGAGTTGTGGATGACTGGTTTACCGGTAAGGATTATGTACACGTGGCGGTCATGTTGGCGAACTAGAGAATATTATGTGGATTATTATCGGTGTTAGGTTTGTGGATTACACACGGCTAAGACTAAGCCCTTGTTTGTGACACGTGTCGAAACAATGGACTTAACTTTGACGCGCGTACCCTTAAACGACGTCGGATTGCGGAAACTAACCAACAACTACCGAGAACTTCCTCGGAAATAACGGGGTGGTTTCTGTAATAATATTAAATAATAAGGGTTGTTTGGGATATAAGAAAACTTTGTCGGCTTAGAATCTTTAAAAGATTTGTCCGTGTCCACACTGGCGTGTCGGGAATTGACGGTATTACCCCCAGAACTAGATCTATCTGGAGTCCCCGAGATGAGTTGGTCCCACCTTTACCGGCTGGTCATGACACATCATAGGTTGTCTTTTTTTTTTTGTTACGTGTTTTAATGTTTGTCACGAATAATTAGTGGCATTAACCTTGTTAATGGTATTTTTCCATTTGATCCATTTATTCGGACTAAAAGAAGAAAGGATCTAATTATTATTTGCGATTAGTTTCTTTTAGACGCAATCAAAATCTAACGTGTTGCTAAAATGTGAAACGTGTTTCGTGGAAGGTCTGATAACCAATTAAAAATTATTGATCTAGAACTTGTCTTTAGCCCAACAAATACTTAACCAATAAGAATTAAAAATTAATCAGCACTACATCAGCATATATGAGTCAGGTTATGCTGCTTATGCCATATGGTATAATATGAGTGAAAGTTGACCTAAAAAAAGTATATGAGTGAGATAACGTTACCTGACGCGAAGGATGTCGTCATGTTGATGATGAATGATGACTGGCGATATCTAATGCACCTTAATGAACTTCAACAAGCCTAATTCCATGTAGTATATCAACTGATGAATTATTTTGGGACCAATTGGCTCAATATATTTTCGTTATTTTCGGATCATCAGGGAACGTTGTTTAATTGGCCTCTTAAGATTTAGATTGTAACAAGAGTTCGAGAAAATTGAGAAAAAAGAACTACTGAAATGATAAGATCATTAAGCATTATGATGTATAAAGAAACGTAGTACATAAAATATTTGAACAGTAATCTTATAATATTCAAGCTTTTGTTGGCCATTTATCCCAATAGTTTTTGAAATTATTGTTATGACCTCTGACCTTTTAAATTATCTGGGCCAATATCATATTTTCAAACTATGATCTACTAATACACCTTATTTAAAATTCAGGCCCAAGCCCATTAGTCTATATTGATGACGAAAAAAAAAACAATGCGGTGAGCGTGGATCGAACACGCGACCTTCAGATCTTCAGTCTGACGCTCTCCCAACTGAGCTATCCCCGCATTTGTTTATTCAGCCTCCGTTACAAATTGTCACATAAAAGACAAATAGAATTCTATAGAAGTAAATTAATATATGCATCGTAAGTTCATAAACTATATAGTATTTGCTATCGAATTACACCAAGTGACCACAAATGTGATTGGAGGAGATATATAAAATTTCTTGATGGTTTTAATTTTTAAACCTCTTTACCAATGGCACTAGTACACACGCTACACAGTTCCCTATCAAAATCATTATTAACATGCAGAGAAAATAAAAGAACTCTTTTCTCAAGGACATGACACTAAACTAACCGTTGATCTCTCTCTCTCTCTCTCTCTCTCTCTCTCTCTTTATCTCGTCTCTCATCTCTCTCTCTCTGGTTCTAGTGATAAGCAAAAACATGCTTACAACCACTGGGAGAAAGGAGAAACTCTCCGTTTCCAAAGGCTCTTACATCGAAGTCTCATCTGATCGAGAGACTACTGGCGGCAATGTATGGTACCATGCTCTTCTCCAAGAAGACCTTGCTTCATCCAAACGCAAGAAGCTCTCTGTTCTCCACTTAAACCCTCTTTCCAACGAAGTCTACTCTCCTCCCTTGATCACCACCACTTTCCACCGTCTGATCCGTCCTCTTCCACCGCCGGATCCTTCCCCTGAAGTTGGTTTTGAGGAAGGTGACATGATCGATGCTGCTCACAAAGGTGGCTGGTGGTCTGGTTGGGTGGTTAAAGTTCTTGATCATCACTGTTTCTTGGTGTACTTAAAATTCGAACCTGATGTCATAGAAGTTGAAAGAAAGGACATGCGTCCACATTTGGTTTGGAAAGATCAAGAGTGGTTTCGTTGCAAGAAACGAGTTAATGTCTTCTCCTTTTTTCTTCATCTTTGTGTGGTATCAAAAACTCATTTTCTCTATTTTTTTATTCTCTGAAGGTAATGACTGAGTCAGAGTTTAGAGCTGGAACTGAGGTGGAAGTGAGAATAAAGGTGGAACCATTTGGAGATATTTGGGCTCCGGGTATAACCATAAAGGAGAGTGAAGATAGGACAATACTGGTGAAGTACAAGAGTTTGAATGCATGCAGGAAGATAAATGTTCCTTACTCCAAGATCAGGCCATCACCACCGTCTTTTGGTTTTAAAGGTTTTGGGTTGATGGAGAATGTGGATGTTTTGCTAGAGTCTGGATGGTGTGCAAGTGTTGTAAGCATGGTTCTCTCTGAAGATAGATACACTGTGATGTTGGGTCGAAGCAAGATGAGTGAAGACTTTGAGCAGTCTCAGTTAAGACCATCCATGGAGTGGAAAAATGGTGTTTGGCAAAAGGTGAGTTGTTTTTACATCTTTTGGAGAATAGAAACATGCATTGAGAGATGAGAATGTGTGTGTTTTGGTTTTTAGGTTTCGGATAGAGAGGAGAATCTGCATGCAGCTGAAGAAACAACTCGCATAAGGGTAAAAGTGAGGGCGACACGTGACACTAGTGTGAAGAATCTTGCTATTGGTAAAGAATCTGTGACTGAGAATGTAGCACAGCTCCCACAAACTCCAGTTGTGAGTTAGTTATTTCTTTCAACATTGACTTAAAGTTGAATCAGCGAGTTAAGGTTATAATAATAACAACTTTGTGTTTTGTTGCTTGTTGATGTAGTCATCTGGAGACTTGACTTGTAAAATGGCTAATGTTGTGATCAGTGAGAACACTCTAGTAGTTACTAAGGAACCTGAGATAGCAGAAAGTAAGTGTTTTTTATTTTTTTACCGCTCTTTAACTTCACAAAATATGATGTTAAATGAATCTAAGTTGTTTACCTGTTTATCAGCTAAAGAGTTTCACTCACCGATAGTCCTGGGTTTAGCAGCACCAAGTCTGAGAAAACCTCCAAGGAAGAAGCGTCAGGCAAGGAAGAATCAAAAGGGCAATGCAAATGATTCTTCACTTGGAGAGAAGAAGGTGAATGTTAGTTTTTGTGGCAACAGTGTTAAACATCATCACTTTTGTCGGTTCTTTCATCATTGTGACTTTATGTAGGCACATAGAGAGTCAGATAACAGAGAGATCGTGAACAAGAAGAAAAGAGGAAGGCCGAGTAAGTTCATAAGCACTAAGACAAAGCAGAAGACTGTAGTTATTGCTGGTAATGGTTCAATGACTCCAACTACTGAAACTGCTGATATGAGTGATGATGATCAGCCACTCACTTCATGGATCAACGGTGGAAATTTATCATATTTGAACAGTTGTTTGCAGCTTTTTTAGACTTCGGTTCTCATTGTTCTTTGTGTTTTGCTTTTTTTATTTATTTGAACATTCAGGGCAATCTTCTGCAACTCCTGATACAGTGCTTAATGCTATTGTGGAAAAGCATGTCGATGTTGTGGAAACTCCTAAAGCGAAAGATTCAACAATGGTTCTTCCATTTGTGAAGAAGTCACCGTGCTGGAAGGTTCTTGAATCAATGGACATCTTCAAAGCTGTGCCACAGCGTCCACATTTCAGTCCACTGCTAGAGTGCGAGGAGGAGTCACGTGAAGGAGACGCTATTGGTGCAATGGTGAAGTTCAGTGGACTGTTAGAGAAAGTAAGTGGTACACAAGTGGATGATTCAGTAACTGAGATAAACAGGATCAAAGAGTGTTTTCTCAAGCTAGAGAAACATGGGTTTGATGTGACAGCACCTTGTTCTCGGATAGATAAGTTACTGTCTATTAAAGAAAGCCAGACGTGGGCATTGGAAGAGCTCAAAGTTGCTGAGAGAGAGATAACAGAGAGAGACAATAAAAGAAGGAAGTTGGAAGAAGATATTGAACAATTGCCAAAGAAGATTGTTGAGTTGCAGAGACAACTAGCATTGCTGAAAGAAGAGAAAGTGACTAAGGACATTGAGATAGCTCTGATGCAGTCCCACGCAGAGATTCTCGACAGAAAGGTTCAGAATGTAGAGCAGGAGTTTCAGGTAACTGTGTCTGCACCATGGTAATAAGAAAGACGAGCAGGGAAATGTAACTAAGTCTTTTGTAATAACTACCCCTAGTTAAGTCAAAAAGTTTCTGTGTCGACTCTTAAATAATCAGATTCATCGATAGCATTTGAAAATCAATCGTGAATAGAAATAAATCTTTAAAGTAACAAACGTTTCGGTGAAGAAAAATAAAATATAAGATTGTCAAAGTACAATCATCAAATGTCTTTGCATGTCTTTGCATGTCTCAGAGAATATGATGATGATGATCCTTTCACTTGCGGTTCTTGCTCTCTGCCTTCTCTCTTTCTCTCTTCTTATAAAGCTTCTCGAGGACACGTTTTGCCTCACAATTGGGGAAGTTTACAAGATCGTAATAGTGAGAAGCAACGTCCACTAGCCTGCAAATACCATCCACCACCATAGCTAAGGACTTTATTCAAAAAAACTCGAAATACTGACCAAAGAAACTTACCATTCACCACGAATGTCTGTCACAGTTCTGATGAAGTTCCTGGTAGTCAAAACATATTCATTGTAGATAACCCACTCCGGTTTGTGATCCAAACAATTGGATGGATGCAAGTGAACCACCTGCAAAACCAGAGTTTTTTGTACCATCAGTTACATACAAGAGAGTATCTTCTTCACTAGAAAGAGCAATGTAACGAACATACTTGATTATCTTTGACGGTCAAGTAATGGCCACTGCGTTCTAGGTGAGCCACTTGCATGAAATAACCAGCAAGCATGGCCTTTCTAATGTTGGTGTAGTAGTCACGGCTGTTGAAATCAGTGCTGCACATCTTCAGATTGAACCTCGACATTATCCTGACCAACTGTTGTCTAACATTGTCCGCAGACTTCATTGCCCTGGTGTTGATGAAGTTGTCGTAGCACCAGTTCGGGTCTTCATCTACAAGAAATCACATTGAACAAGCAAGTTAGTGTTATTCCTTTAGCTAGAGAGGAAGAGCAAATAAGAAGAGAGAGATAATAACTTACTGTTTTGCTTAAAAGCGTGGTAGACGTTAAGTAACGTGAGGTGATCACCATCAATGTGTGCAAACTTCGCTTTAGCTTCATCTGCTTGTTTTTGAGACTCTCTAGGCCGTATAAAGCAATTGGGTACTAAAGAAACAATTGTTTTTTATAACAGGAGAGAGGTCCATGGAAGAAGAGGTCAGCAGATGCCATGAGATTGATACCGTCATGATGTGAGAGAATAACTGAGAAACTGCAACTATCATCAGCACTTACTTATGACTATAGACTGCTGATGATGACAACCTAACTCCACTATCAAACTCTAGACACTAATGCACATACATGTAACGCAGGATAAGATTGAGCTCTAATGCACATAAACTAGTTGCAAGCTTAAGCCTACCCACATCTACATACCTAACCCAAGATGACAAGAACAAATAAAAGAATAAAAACAAAGGGCATGTACCTGATAGCATAGCTGAAACCGAGAGGATCTCGTTGGAGCAGTTGAATTCAGGACTGACAATGAGCATCTTCGCCATCTGCGGATCCAAGGGGAACTCACTCATTATCTCACCTGTCCTCGTCAAGTTTCCTTCATCATCAAGCGCTCCCAAATAATTCAAAACCTCCAAGGCTCGCATCAGTGTCTCAGGTGCAGGAGGATCCATAAAATCGAAGTGCACCAAGTCATCTATCCCCAATTTTTTCAAAGTCAGCACCGTGTTTGCAAGATTCGATCTCAAGATTTCAGGATAAGTCTGTGGCTGCAAGTCATTGTTGAAGCTCTTCTCTGTGTACAGCCTGAAACACTTTCCCGGCCTTGTTCTACCGGCACGACCTGATCTCTGATGAGCACTTGCCTTTGATATTGGCGACACTAGTAAAGACTCAACACGTATACGTGGGTTGTAAACTTTCTGCTTAGCGAAACCAGGGTCAATGACGTACACAATCCCATCTATGGTTAAAGAAGTCTCAGCAATGTTGGTCGAAACAACAATCTTTCTCCCAGGAGGACCACCTTCCGTTACAGGCTCTGGAGCAGAATCAAATATCTTCTGCTGCATGGCAGGTGGAAGAGTGGAGTACAGTGGCACAACCTTGACAGGACCCACTTGATCCCCAAGATTACCAACCTCCTTGTTGATTTTGCGGCATGCATCTTCAATCTCCTCCTCTCCAGTTAAGAAAACCAGAATATCACCAGGTGGCTCACACATATGTATCTGAACAACAGTCCTAATAGCAGCCTCAAGATAATCCCTCTCAGGCTCCTGAGTGTAGAAAATCTCCACAGGATGAAGCCTACCAGGAACCTTCATCAGAGGCGCACCGCTAAAATACTCCTGAAACTTCTCGGCTTCTAGAGTAGCACTCATGACAACCAGCTTAAGATCAGGCCTATTCCTCAACACCTCTTTCAAAAGACCAAAGAGCACATCCGTAGCCAGAGTCCTTTCATGAGCCTCGTCAAGAATAATCACTTTATATCTCTCTAGAAGAGGATCCGCCATTGCTTCTCTCAACAACATACCATCAGTCAAATACCTGTAATTAGCTCATGATTAGATCCAAACCAACAAATTATAACAATGAGAAGCTAAAGAGACACAATCAACAATCAATGCTTACTTGAGCACTGTTCTGGGGCCACTACAATCCTCGAAACGAATACTGTAACCAACTTCTTCACCAATAGCAACATCCATCTCATCAGCAACACGACGAGACACAGACATAGCAGCAACTCTACGAGGCTGAGTACAACCAACCAAAAACTTCTTACGCTTGTCCGAACTCTCAGCATCAACAGCATCAATAACAAACTGTGGAATCTGTACAAATTAAACAAAACCCACTATTAGTTTCCCTAAACCCTAATCAAAATCAATCTAAAGCTAACATCTTTTCCCAAAATTAAAAGATCAAATTTTTACCTGAGTGGTTTTACCACTTCCGGTTTCTCCGACAAGAATTAGTGTTTGGTTGTTTTTTAACGTTCTGAGAAACTCCTCTTTCTGAAGCCACACTGGAAGAGTCCTACGCTTCTCGAGTATCTCGTAGTACTTGGCGGAATAAGGCTTCCCGTTCCATTTATTGATTCCGCCGCCGTCGCCGAGACCGTTGAATTTGGAGATCTTCGAGGGAGCTGATGGATCGTCCATGACGTCGAATAAGCTCACTTTCCTCTTTCTCTCGGTGCCCATAACGTCCAAAGAGGAAAGTAGAAGAAGAAGAAGAAGAAGAAGAATGAATGGGGATAAATTATGAAAGTCTAGGGTTTCGGCTGTGTTTTAAAGAGAGAGAGAGAAAGGAGGCGGCTTAAGTTTTGTAGATTTTTCAATTTAACCCCGAATCTTTATAAATATTCTTACCCGCCCAAATATTTTGGAGTTGGGCCCGTTTATTGGGCTGATAATAAGCCCATGTCTTATTTACTAGTCCTGGTCCAATGGTTTAACATTAATTAATTTAAAATTTATAAGTCTAATGGTGACATCTTGCAACCTTAAAGCAGAACAATTATTTTATACTTTAATCACTACTTTTAGACAACAATATCACTTAATATCTGAGAACTTTTTTTTTGACAAAAGATATGTTAATATCTAAGAACTTGGAAGATATGTTAATGAGTTGTGGATTCCGTGAGCAAAGCAAAAACATTTTTTAAGTTCCAAATATAATATTGTTGCTAAAAAGATGTAGGTAGTACTAGTAACATGTTAAATGACCAACCATGTGCATGTAGAAGACTGAAGAACATAACAAAAGATATAAAGAAAACAACAGAGATGAGATTAGATTCAGTAAACTTTAAAACCATGCAACAGAAAGCAGCCAGTGCGAAAAGCCAAGTAAGCATTAGACACTGCGAGCTTAATCTGGTCCTCGTTGAGAGCACCTGTGCACCAATCGTCAAAGACAGGGCTTATTGGTTTCTGTGTCGGAAAAATATCACCCATCTTACAGGGCAAATTAGCGGCGCCCTTGCTGTTCATCATGTTCCACGAGGCAGGTCCAATGTCAGCAGCGTTCTTGCAAGAGAAACCAAACTCACTCTCCAGCATTTTAAGAGATTTTTTTATGCCAACCCCTACGAATGTGATGTCAGGGAGGTTGAGAAAATTGAAGAGCGAGAGAGGAAGTAGAGCAGCAGCATCATCTTCAGAGGGGAGCTGAACGGTTTTAGGTTGCTTTCTTGTTTTGATTGCTCTCTCTGTGTCAAGACCAATGATTTTGTTGTTGTTAGACAAGAATGTCTTGACAAGACGGTTGATTTCGCTAATTTCTCTAGTAACAGTCGTTTTAATGGTAGCCACTCCAAGGTCTACAATCGAAGAAGACATTTCTCTGGAATAAAAAAAGGATGGATCATGCAAGCATTGTAGATATTTTAAAGTCTTTATATAGACGTAAAAGAGGATTCCAAAAGCCTAAGAAACCATTGGAGAGGAAAACAAAGAGACTTTAAGTTAAACGCATGCAAGATATAAAGCTGTCTTGGCTTTTGAGATTCACGAGGCCTTACAATCTACAACTATGGTTACTGTCATATTATCATCAACAATTAATTTATTAATTTGGTCACACAGAAACCACATTTTAAAGTTCATATAGAGCATTGTGGCTAAAATGATGTAGGTACTACAATGACCAACCCTGAATGCAAGAGACTGAATAACATAAAGAAAGAAACAAAAGGAAACAGAAAGAAAAAAAAAGAAGCAAACAGATGTTTAGATTCAGTATTCCAACATATTGTTCCCCAAGCCAAAAGCCAAGTAAGCGTTTGAAACTGCGAGAATAATCTGGTTCTCGCTGAGAACACTTGCCCCCCAGTCGCCAAAGATGGGGCTTGCTGGTTCGTTCTGAACAATATCAGCCCTCGTTATATTCAAATAATGCATATTGTAGGTCATCAGACTCCGCTTGGGGGGTCCGATCTCAACAGCATTCTTGCAGGTCAAACCAAACTCACTCTCCAGCATCTTAAGAGACTTGTTCATGCCAATTCCCACAAAGGTGAAATCAGGGAGGTTGAGAAAATTGTAGAGAGACAGAGGAAGCTTGACATGATTAAAAGAGGAAAGCTGAATTATTAGGCAATAGTCTCCATCGCAAAGCTGGAGCAGGACGGTTTTAGGACTAAAACTACGAGCTCGTTCTGTGTCAAGACCAATGATTTTATTCCTGCCAAATTTGTCGTTAGACAAGAATGTCATGACAAGACGGTTAATCTCGCTTGGTTCTCTGGTAACAGTCGTTTCAATTCTAGTCCCTCCAAGATCAACAATCATAGAAGACATCTCTGGAAGAAAGAGAGAAGAAGAGATCGGATGGATGGAAGCATTGAGATGTTTTCAGTCTTTTTATAGACGTAAAAGGGAATTGCAAAAGCCGCTAAAAAACGAAGATACTTAAAAAGTTAAATGCATGCTAGACAAAAGCTGTCTCGACTTTTCAGATTCACGAGGCATTTCATTACTGTTGTTACTGTCATATTATCATCAACAATTTATTCATTGGCCACACAGAAAGCATTCCCAACAACTCTTAAAAGAGTCAACTCCTAACTGCAAAGAAAAATCTTGTGTTTAAAGACTTGAACTATATGATTTCAATGAAAATGGTTTCATCGCCACTCTAAGTAAGAAATCTCTTGAATGTAAACAACAAACCCAAATGAGAAACAGAATAGCTAGCTATTGCTAGTGCTCGTTCTACAGGAACAGATGATATGAGAGTTGCTTTCAGCAAGGAACAAACCTTGGTCGCACCTGTCTGTAGTAACTCAGTTCCAGCAAAACCCTGAAATTTCAGAAAGCTTTTTTTAAGCCACAAAGTAGAGAGAGAGAGACACACAGATAAGACTTTTCAAGAATCCACTACACTTGGTTCTGCTTCCACTCGATCAAAACCATTATAACCAACAAAAGCTAGAGCAGCATATTACTAACTTGTCTTCAAACAGGGAGAGATAACTTACCAAACAAGAGCTGACCACACTGGTCTAATAGCGGTTGTAGTTTTTTCCATAGTCTTCACGCCTCTGGCGTTGGAACCCACCATAGTTGTTGTCTTGATGCCTCGAAGGATAGTTTTTCACATGGTTAGGAGGGTATCTACCTTCAGAATCCATTGGCACATTGTTTCCAGCATAGGGAGGAGGAGGATTCGAAGAGTAACCATCATCATAAGGAAACTGTCTATAGTTACTACCATAACTCTGACCAGAGATTGGCTGCTGTCGTGCTTGCTCCTGTCGTCTCTGAGCATCGACTTGAAGGAATTCTTCCCATTGTTTAGCGTTCATACCCCTTAGCCCAGTCAGCTTCTTCATGTAACCCTCTCTCAGTTCCCGCATTGTCTAAAAACTCGCACAAATTGAAGTCAGAAGCTGACGTTCACAAGGAGACTAGGGACTTAACTCTGCTGCCATCTAATACTCTAGAGCAACTTAAAATCTTATCTACTATGGGAGTTTCATAGTTTGCAGGAATTGCCATTTCTGAGGTGACAGCACCTAAAACTCGGTTTTGAATCTAAAAGGAACATGACATCAGTCACTGGATCTCTTACCTCACGATGCTTGTTGTTCTCCTCATCTTCTTCCTTATCGCGTTTCTTTGCAAGCTCCATCACATCTCTTGTATATTCCAATTCTAGCTCTTCTAAACTCTGTGGGAAAGCAGGGCGTTCAAACTGATGACTCATCTGAATGTCTCTGGAGCCAGAGCCACCACCCATTCTCTCTTGTTCCCATCTTTCAGACCTGTAACCACTCACCTCATACTTTTGATTTTCATAAGGTTTATCCCATCCACTATAACGTGGCCTCCCTGGGGATTTAGAGTGCGTGGAACGACTCCGAGCTCTGTCACTACCATAAGCTTCAATAAAACGAATAATAATGATGTTAACTGCTTCATCACATGCGACCAAATAGGATGCAGACTTGTGGGGCAAAAACTTCATTAACTAATTTATTTAACTCAGTACTGTACAAGGACTTACCTTTGGCTGCAAAACAAAGATTGAAAAAGACATTTCCGGCCAAAATACCGGAAAAAGACCAACCAACTTCCCCTAAAACAGACTTAAAAAGACACAATAACCAGCTCTCTAAAGGTATCCTATCTTGGCCCTACCTTGTGGGGATCCTCTGGAAGCATTTCGCTGGTTCTCACGAACACGGTTCTCCTCACGCACACGGTTATCCACAAACTTATCCTGCCTTCCAGAGCGCTCTGGGAAACTTGATGAACCATGTGATGGCATATGCTGCTGTCTCTGAGGTTCAGGGTTTCGAGCAACACGCGGTGGAGGCGGACCAACAGAAGTTCTTCTAGGCGACCTGGATCTGCTCCTGTGAGAGGCAGCAGAAGAAGTCTTAACCTCGCCTTCCTCTTTAACCTTGTGAACAGCATCCACACCTTTCCTCAAGATCAACCTATCCTTGCCACTCACAATAATGAACTTCTCATCCATCTTAATCTTGCAGCCAGTCTCGCTCTCAATCCTCTCCACAACTTTCTCAGTAAACAAAACTCTAACGTTCTTGTCCCTAGCTGGTACCCTCTCAATGAAATCCTGAGACTTTCTGTTGGCACCAAGCGTCGATGGACATCCCTAAAATAAGTAACAACAATCAGTAACGAAGTATAATAAAACTACAAAAAGGGAAAAGCTTGAGCCTTACCTGAGTGAAATGACCAGACTCTCCACATATTTTACAGATCATTTCCTCTTCTTTCCTCTTCTTCCAGTTCCTCTCAGTAGCTTTGGACTTAGCCTCCCAGACCTTAGCTTCTCTGCTAGTGAAATCAGTTGGTACAGAGTTGGGATCAGGAAGCTGCTGCTGCCGCTCTTCTTCATCAATTCCATCTTCAGGAAGTTTAGGTTTTTCTTGGACTTGGACATTGGTGGTGGTGGTGGTGGTCACAGGACCTGTGTACTCTTTGTAGATTTCACTAAAGTCATCATCAATCTCTGTGTCTTCTGACTTATTGCTTTCCATCTGAATCACGAAAACAATCACAAAGTCTCTTTCAGTTTCAATTTCCATAAACATCCATAAGAGCTAATCTCAAGAAATATCTCAAGATACGATTGTTACATTGTAAATAGCTATTCAGTGCAAATCATATAAACACAATCAAAGAGATGCTAAGGAAGCGAAGGAGAAGAGTGTAGGGATTAATGATTATCGTTACCTTTCGAAGTGCGAATCAATGGCGAACGGATTACTCGTGAACGAACGAGAAGAAGACGATGAAGTGAGGGAGACGATTAGCTTCTTTTAGGGTTCGTAAGAAAATGAGGTTCCACAAATCCTAACTTTTTTACTATTCTCGTTTTGAACCTTAAACTTTTGAAAATAACATACATACCCTTGCGTAAACGTCGGCGTTTTAAAACTTTACGTTTTTGAGATAACTGTCGTTTCGATATACAACTTCGGATACACTATAGTGGTTATAGTGGTTACCACAGTATCTCGACGACAATTAAATTTTACAATTATTAAAATAAATACTAGCAAGGAAGGATTTCCATTTTTCAAAAATTTTTGTATTATATGTTCAACAAGAACTTGCAGAATCACATATTGAACACACAAATTATTAGCTTAGTAATAAAATGGTTGGTACTCTCATTTATTTACACGATCCCAGATCTCTATTTTCATATTTTAGGTTTGCTGTAGACATGTACCATACATGCACCTGTAATATGTGACCTGCAAAATTACATAATTGCTAAGAATTATGTACAGCTTTGATGATGAATTGTCTTTCTGTGCATGTGTGTTTTATAACCTTTCTCTATACAAAATTACAGTTATATTAACTGAATGATAAACTATACTGTCGAGATTTAATGACGTACAAGTCATTTAGCTTTGTTTGTTATTTGTCGTTTGGAGCAAAGACCATGTGATACAATCAAGTAGGTGACGTGTGGGACAGAGAGTGATGAAACCAATATTTTTATAAATATAGTGTGACCCTAGTTCAAATAAGATCTTCAAGTCTGCTTCCAAAAAGCTTGAAGACAGAAAGAATCTCAAATTTTAACAAAAACATAAATTTGAGTATGTATCATATAGTTCACACCGCACGTCATTGTTCTTCTTAACAGTAAAAACATTAATTAGAGGTTAGGTAATTAGAAGTTGAATATGTTTTCGGGTTTAATTTTAGAATAAACCATAAGAACAAATATATGAACATTATAGACACAAAATGAAAAACGTTAAAGAATAAAATAGCAAATGACGTTGACAGTGCAAACTATTTTTTCAACGTTCGCAGTATAGGGTAATCATGATTATACAAGTGGTGAATCTTTTTTCCTTTTCCTTGACGTAAACTGATCCTTCCCATTTGCCTTTTCTATACACAATATGTAACACATAATTGAATTGGCTTTGTCACACTAACCTCATAAAGTTCTGTTCGGAATCCAAAACTAATTGCAGCAACAACAGAATTCAGAAATAACTCAGTCATTAATTAATCACTTCTACACGTATAAGTATATATTATCAATCCTAAACATAATACATTACCTCATTTCTGTGGAGAAAAAAAAAAAACTCAAACCCTAGCTAGATCATATAGTATTGCTACTAAAATCTTGTACATCCTGGCTTCTTATCAGTTTGGTACTAATCTATTCACTGAAGTGACAAGAAAACTAAGAAGGGCTTTTTGCAGAATTGACCTGAAACTTGAAGTCAACCACAAAACTTGAAGTCAACCACAAAACTTGAAGAAAGACATACAAAAGAAAACTTGATAAATTTTAATAAACAAGTTTAATGTTTTGATCATTAATCATATGGGTGCAGTAAAATTGAACAAACCTCAACTATTAGATCATGATCAAATACAAGAGTGACAGCACACACAAATACAATCCTACCATTTAAAGATTAGGAGATTAACTTTTATTATTCCTTGATGATATATGAGCCGGAACAACATCCTGAAGAAGGCCATGGTCATTGACTAAACCAGCTCCATCAAGCAGATCCTGAGTTCCACTCGTCTTAATCACATGATCATCATCTTCATCGCCAAGATTAAATTCTTTGTCTTGCCTCCTAAAGTAGTCTGTTCCAAAACGAGACAACTCTTGATCTTGTTGTCGATGATGATTGTTGTAATTGAAAAGGTGATGAATTTGAGGAGAGAGTACTGTAGGGGTCAGGTCAAAGTAGGCCTCAGAAGCTGAGTCATCAGATCCAAAGCTGCTTTGCTTAGACAAGATGAGTGGTCTAGGATGCGTGTGTTGACCTTCGTAGGTGGTGATTACACTACTTTGGTCAGTGAATGATCTTTCCACTCTCTTCTTCACGTTACACCAAGATATAGTGCAACGGTAGTAACTCCTTGCCAAAGAAAAAATAAATTAAACCCATTAAATTTATAAAATCTAGCAAGATTTTTAGATCATCATCATTACAGGACCACACAAATCATGAAGATTAATTAAAGCTTAGTTAATTACCTTGGAAAAGGGCTGTTTCTGACAGGTTTTTGACCATATTTTCTCCACTTATAACCATCGTCTAGGTTATTAACTTGGCTCTTCGTGATGAATGACACTCTTGGCTCTCTCATTTTCGTCTGTTCACTACTCTTCGTTGATTTATACCTAATTATCCCAAGTTTCTAGCTATTAGTCCTTTTTTTTTTGTTTTAAAAAAAAACAAAACAAACTTTTAAAGAAGGGAAACCAAAAACTCACCGCTTATTTCTCTTATGTTTCTGCTCTTCTTCATTCTCCTGGTAGTATCTATTACTTTCCTCTCCGGTCACAGTTTCGCACAAAGCATGAGAGATGGACGACGACGGGTTAGGTGTTGCGGTTAACTGCATCCGTGGCATATGTGTCAAGGCATAACGAGAGGTTTCTTGATGATGAACACCCAGTAACTCCATGAACCCTACCGGAAACCTCTCTTCATCGGACAACGAAGGGTAAAGTTTCGTTTGCTCTAAGTCAGAAAATGCCATCCCAACACCAGTTTTCTCCATTTTTTTCTAAAACAATCAACAGAAAAAACAATAAAGAAAAACAAAACAGAGATCTACTCTAGACAGAAAGTCAGAAAGCAAAGAAGAAGTAAAGTAAGAAAGAGAGTTTAGGGTTTAGCAAAGAGACAGTAGAGGTGAACTAAACATGGGTTCTTGCTAAATAAATGCCATGAAGCAGTGACCGGCAATCACAGGTGGACAATGTTTTTAACGGCAATTAAACAAGACGGTAATAACGCTTTAATACGTTAGGTTTTGACCGGTCCAGCCTTTACCGGAGGGGGGTGGGGAGGGGGTGTTCCTATCGTGTGAACGAGCTTTTACGTGCGTGAAAGACTAAAGGAATAAATAGACTACAATAGTTACTTTTTGAATTATGGTGTGGACTATAATTGGTTAATAACCTTACTTGGAACTGTATCGCATTCCTTATGAAACTGTTTGTATTTTGTAAGATTTTTTTTTTTTTTTAAACATATTGTGGATACACTGATACAATACTTTTTTGGTCAAATGATATACTATGTTGTAACAAAAGCATCAAATTTGCATTTTATCGTTTTATACCATTAATTAAATAGCTGTATTAATTTTATATAAAAGCATAAACCAAATCACAGTAAAGAATTAACAAAAAGATTATTGCATGCTCCTGAGTTTTCTCTCTATGGACAATGGCGATCCCGATGAAAAAAAAGTAAAAGGTGTACTTTGATTTCCTCCTTTGCAAATTACAAACTATTTTCTATGTAGGCCTGTTTGTATGTAAAAGAGAAGTATTATAATGTTATGCGATATGCCTTTGTATATCGTTACATGTGTAAATGGTAGACTGTATAATTATTTTAAGGGCACACTAGGTATACATTTGACTAGTGTGCATATAGTGTAAAAAAAAAAACTGAAATGGTAAGAAAAGAGACTAATTATGAGAAAAGTGTTCCTCTAGAATTTGAAATGTGTGGACAAGAGAGGAGTTTTCTGAATTCGGAAAAGTTTTAAATAATTCACTCTACCGATATACATAACAAAGAACAAAAAAGGAAAGAGAGAAGTAACCAAAATGCTTTAGAAGGTCTTCTTTCTAGAAACAGCTTTTCGAGGTTCTCTCTTGGTAGATGATCCACTGAACCCGGAAGACGAAAACCCAACCGTGGATTGGTAGATGTCTTTCAACCTTTAAATAAAAATATATAAGCATCTCAGTCAAGTTATGTGAATTACTTACTAATCATATACTAAAAATAATATAAGCATGTTATGTGAATTTTGGGTACATATCAATTATATATTTACCTGGGGATGCTAATGAACAGAGCAATTGCCGCAATGCCACTAACCAGTGGCAATATAGCTGCAGGAGTTACTTCCTGAAACCCCACCAAAACACAAATCAAAACCGCATTGAGAAAAAGAATATTTAAAATGTGGAAGACTGTGTGAATTATATATCTATTACCTGACTCTGATGATCTGCCACGATGCTGTAACGAAGTGGACCGACATGGATTTGAGAATTTGTCTCGAAATCCACTTCGATGATCTCTGATACTACTTTATGGGAGCCTAAAGGACGGTTGGATTTAAGCTGCACAAGGTGTTTGCCTCTGGACAAGCCTTTCACTTGGAAGAAGTTGGAAAGTGGTAGTGGAAAGACATTCTCTACTTTAGATACACCACTGGCTGATTTGATCTCCACTAGCAGATTCGCGTTTACTTCTTCGTTCTGTTTTCCTTCTACGTGGCATGTTAATACGGTCGTTTCTGGTTGTTCAAAGACCAAAAAGTCTACCCCGTGGATATCATCATAACCAATCTATAAGAAGAAGGTGAAGAAATGTCAGGTAAATTCTATTGTTGAAACTGCATGGATGATAAGAAAGGAATGTTAATATGTTATGGAGAATCAGAAACAAAACCTGAAGAGAAACAGACTCTGGAGATGCACGTTCGATTTTATTCTTGCCTGAACCATTCCTTTTCGATACTTTGATGACATATGTGGCACCTGGATGTAACCCTCTTAGACGGAAATTTCCATCAACATCACTTGTAGTCTCCTCATAGTATCCTTTGGAATCAGAGCGAGCTTCAACTGCGACACCTTCTTGTGGCTGGCCAGATAGGAGAGCGACTCTACCCATTGCACTGCAAATGAATCGACAAGATGTATACATCGTTAAAGAAACAAAGATGATTTAATGGAAGGCAATCTAAGCATATAATACTTATAGTTACTTTAAAATAGCGAGAGTAGTATAAGGAGATCAAAATTAGATTAAAACCTGTAGGCAACACGAGTAGCCTCAAAGACAGCTTCACTGGACTCCCCAGAACCCAGTTCTATTGCCAGTGTTGATGGCTTGAAAGAATATTCCTGACCAAACATATTTAATTAGATAACTCATCTCAGGAAGGTACACATCATTTATGTTTCCGCGTTCTGGCAGTCATATGATTCTCAAACAGTGCTTTGCTAAGGAGGGAACTGGTTAGTTACCTTAAGAAGGGGACGCAAGTAGAAATTTCCAGGAAACAAGCTATCAAATACAAAGAGTCCACCAGCGCCAGATATAGAATTGTTTCTGTAACCATGGTCGCCACTCAATGATAGCAACAATGGAGGGACTGATGTCTCGGCATTGTCCTTTGAGGAAACACGCACAGAGATCTGACCAAGCTTCTGGCAGGAGAAGGAATACGGTCCTAGTCTTTTAATATGGTAGCCAGGCTGCATATATATAAGCCACGATCAGGAGCACATTATTTGAAAACAAGTGAGACCGAGTGAAAACGCATGAAATCTTAACCTAAGATAACAAAGGCCCATGAAAATATATCAGTAATATACACCAACCTTTGAAGCATCTGTGTCATATTGTATATCATCATACAAGGGCCCAGCAACAAAAGAACCATCGGGCGATGTGCTTGTTTCAACAGCTACTTCACCTTTCTTAAGTGAAGAAATAAGGCTGTCTTTTGCTGCAGAGACCTTAATGTTAACACCGGGAAGAGGAGGAGACACCGATCCTTGTATGTAAAGACCAGGTCGACCAGTAAATGGGGAAACAGCAGCTTGGCAACCATCATTTGACACTACCGCCTATTAGAACAAACATAAAGTAAGTTTGATGTGCCCACAATAAAATCTTTTATTGCGAGCATTACTTCTAGTCCATACTTACACGAAGCTCTTTCGGATAAAATAACATCTTCTTCTCCGCATTACTCCTGAAACAGAAAACAGCGGTAGCTGAATAACTCGAAATAAATAACACTTCATAGAAATTTAAGACAATGCAAGCACCCAAACCCTCCTGAAACAATTTTACTCCAAACATTTGAAGTGTAGTTCACAGATCCTCTGATAACATAATAAGAAATACATACCTAGAATCTCGAGGAACAAAGGTAATCTTTTCACCAAGTTTTGCCCATGTATAGTACTCATACACACCACGCCCATCCGATGCAGGTTTGGCAGATATACTGTTGATAACTCTTCCTCCTTCGTCTTGCATATCAACAATGAAACTCTCTGCCAACTCAGATTCAATCTCGGTTGAGCTAGACTCCACATTTATCAGACCTTTGATGAGATACTTCTCTGCTCTCAAATGAATAGGCTACAGAAAGGAAAGAAGAGAGATGCTCAAAAAAGGACGGGCAGGCGAACAAATATTTAAACAAAAGAGACAAAATTACTAACTAAACCTGTGAATTTGAGACATCTATCTTTATTGAATTGCTCGCAAAGGATATGCAGGAGGCAGAAAGCTGAAGCTCATGCGCTCCAGGTGACTCAACGCATATTTTCTGCAAACCTTTCTGTAGATACCACAAATGAAGTAACCAGTTAGTTTTGATAAAGTTTAGACACAGCAAAAGCTATGGAGAATCCACAGGGCAAAGACTACCTTGATTTTCAAATTAGTAGGTGACCCAGTAGGATGGACAATTTTAGCATCCACCTCATGAGTACTGACAATATTAATCCAGTAACCTTTCTGGACAAATTCGATCCCTTTAATATCCTCAGTTCCGACATTCACATCAATGGAGCTATGGTCCCAACACCAAGTGTCTTCCTCGGATATGGCTTCCGGTGAAATGCTTTTGACCTAAAATAAATCAACACGACAGGAAAATATGAAAGTATTTAGCAATATGAGTTTCCACGAGGAGAAAAGAAAATGAGATTAAACCACGCACTGCCCACCTCAACTCTATACTTTCCAGGCAATATGTCTGAAAAGTGAAATTCACTGCTCTCATCGGTTAAAACAATTGTCTTCTTGTCACGATCCCCAGCCGCTCCCACAAGCGTCACTGAGACGGACGGACCACATTTATCCTTGCACGTAACAGAACCATGCACATTGACTCGGGCCTACATTAACACCCAAAAGGAGTGAAAACCCCCTCTTTAACAGGCATATTTCCACACAGACAATTCTAAGAGAGTGGTCATTCACAGAAAATTACCTGAGAAAATTCTATGTTCAACAATGGACTTTTGACAGAAACATCCATATGGCCTGGCAAAAATAGAAGCTCAGGAGCACTCTTTGGTGTTGCAGCGAAAGCAGACAGCCTATATTCACCTGCTGGAACCTGGAATATACATGATTTTTAAGAAACAGAGAATTCATCAACAAATATAAAGCAGCAAAGATTCACATAGGCCGGAAAAAACTCTCTAAAGATTCAAGGGGGTCAACATGATAAAGTTAATTTTGGCAAGTGAATCTACTAGAGATACATGACTGATTCAACAAACCTCAAAGCAGAACTTTCCACTCCCATCTGTAAGCTTCTTTTGCGGTTTGACATTTGTGGGTCCATGGGTCAAAGCTACCTGGATTTAAAATGTAAAAAAACGTTAAGCATATGAGATATAAATAACAACGGTGCTACATATGCCCAAATATGAACAAGAATTTACATTTGCTTTGTGACCAGAACCAAACATTCGCACCACACCACAGATATCATAAGACAAGGCACTGATGTCTGGAAGTGAAGCCATATTTGGTAAGACCTAACAAACAGAAAAGTTTAACGAGTTATAGAGCAATTAATTTAGTACACCACAGATGACGAAAAATAACTGAGATTAATACCGTGAACTTCTTCAGTTTGTCGAACTTGTAATGCTCCTTGACTGCTTCTATTGTATATTGATTTGATGTAACCTAAGGAGTTTAAACAACATTACATTATATCCGTGCTGTCTAAATGAGTGATCACGACAACAAGAAAAAAAAGATTGAGGACAGAAAACCAGATGGTAAGTATTTAGTACAGAGAATTTAGCATTCTAACCAAATCCTTTAGTCTAGATTATAGTAGCCTTGAAACATTCACTAGGAGAAGTTGGCAATCAAGACGCTTATAACAGTAACAAGTCTGAAGTATATACATCAAAATAGCATTTAAATATACCTGGTCAAGCTTGTAATAACCTTCCTTGTCCGTGACAGATCTTAGATTAGCATCCACTAAGATTTTAACGCCCTCGACTCCCTTTAAGTTACTGTCAACTACTCGGCCCCCAATGGAGAATCCGGTTACCTAAAGGAGCATTCAGTTCAATATTTAGAGGAAGAAACATGTAAGCAGCGTCCAAACACAGAAACAGAGAGCTTTATCAAAGTTTGCAGTTATTCTGTCAGACCTGAAACTTTTTGGGAACAGTAACATGTTGATGCTCTACAGAAACAGGCATAACAGGAGGTGAAACATCAAAGACCGTGTTCTCACCCTTATACTGCGGTATCAGTTCATATTTTCCTGAGGACAAAAAGAAATCCAAGTGAAAAAAATATACCAATAGAAACTAAGTGCACCCTAAACTTGGATCATGCAACCAGAATTTCAAGCGTCCTTTAACAAGTTCAATTTTCATTTAACTTATGTTGCACAATGCAAAATGCATCAGGCATAATGATAGTGGATTATTTCGAAAATACCACATGGGATGGACTTGAAACTGAAGATTCCGTCCGCATCAGATACAGCATGGCAGAGAGGCTTCCGTTCTCCAGAAGCGTCACCAAGTCCTTGGGGACAATCTACCTTGGAAACATCATCTGAATGCAAATAAATATGCACTCCCACGATTGGATTTCCCTACAAAAGGAAACAAATGAATACTATCAAACGCTCAGAACCGAGAATACTCTACGAGTGCTTGATGGAGGGAACCCAACCAACTTAAAGATATACCAACCTCGGTTTCCAATAAAGGACATGATAAATGTTTTTACTCACGAAAGCAAAAGCGAGAAGGAGGTTTCTAACATCAAAAGAAAAAAAAGATAGAGAAATAGAGGGATCACCTGCGCAACAACAGATCCCTTGAGATCATAACCAAGGACAAAGAATATGTCATCCACCAAGCCATTTGCAAATCCAAGTTCGACCTACAGGCAGCCAGACATACTTCAACTATTAGCATGCAGAATAAATATATAAATCAAAGCCAAATATATTAAAATAACAGATAGATAGGCATGTGTAGTACAACCAACTGCCAAAAAGGTTGGTCAGGAGAATTTTAAATGGAAACGTCAATCGAAACAAAGGCAAAACCAAAAAGATGGGTAACCTCTGTTGAACCGCGAACTTCAACTTGCAGTTCTGGATGGGATGCACGGATACTGTATTTTCCTGCAACCAATCAGACAGACTCGAAATGATTATCACAAGACACCTGGAAACATGCACTTATTCATTTGACGCTACAATTTGGGTAACTTCCAACTAAATGCAAGACCAAAATAACATACGTGATACAGAAAACAGGACACCTGTGATGAGACTCCTTACCTGGAATAATATTCTTGAATAAGTAGCTCCCATCTGACGATGTGCGAACAGAAGCAATGGGATCTCCATCAGAAGACAATAACTCAACATTGACATCAGCAGGGCCTCCATTCTTAATCATACAACTCTCCCCACCAACAGCTCCAAGAACTTTACCGGATAATGTGAAACTGCAATATATAAACGAGTACAATAAAAAAAATTTAAAGGAAGAAGAATGAGCTAACCACATATTAAACCACGATGAACAAAAATAAAAATAAAACTCATGAACTAAAAAAACGAACCCGGTGAAGCGGAAGTTAATATCCTCATTGTTGTTGCAACTAGAGTCGTCAACAACAACAGGGACCTGCCACACCAAATTTCATGTCAGATCTAACTAATATTCCTCAACAAAAAGAGAAGAAAAAAAATGAAGAGCAGAAAAAGAAACCTTATCAGGACTCCATGACCATCCTTCGGGTCCATTAATCTTGAGAATGAATGAGCCCTACGAAAACAAAGCATATATATATATATATATATATATATTAATAAATACATCTTTAACAGACCCACACGAAAGAAAGTTAAGAAGAAATACCTTGTCATAGACAGGGATGAAATAGTAACCATTAGGAGCACACTGCGTACTATCCTTCACCAATCCATCTACTGTTCGCAGCTCAACCTTTTCATTTGAAGACAAATCAGCTAAAGAAAATAAAAAAAACGTGGTTAGTAGTCAACAGATAGAAATGCTTACCGTGATGTGAGAATAATCAAGTTTCCCATCTGCTCCTTTCCTAGTGCTGACCAAAGACGAACTCGCCTGCACGTTTAGTAACTTATCAGCGTTAATTAAATAAACATCACATCCCAAAAAATTTCAGATCGGATACTAAAACCATTGAACTAAACTAAATCTAGATTCTAGGCAAGGATCTCACACACACACTCTCTGCTAATCGATCAGGAACCAAGCATAACTATCTAATAAAACGAATCGGGGAAAGGAAGAGAGATAAACCTCAACAAAACCACCGCAGCCTTTTATCGAATCCGCGGAAACACCGTAGACGGTTGAAATCGCGATGAGGAAGACGGTTAGAGAGTGGAGAATCTTCGTATTTGTCGCCATTTTCCCCGATCTGGAGCTCCGGTCACCGGAGGTTTTAATGGTTGAAGGAGTGTTGTTCGTCAATGGAGCACGGATCCAAAAGAGTTTATAATAAGGTCCTTGGATTCTCTGAGGATTTAATGGGCTTTTTACAATATTAATAGGCCCATTAAAAGCAGTAGAATAGCCCACTATGCCTTTATAAGATTGTTTACATGTTTCTTTTTGGCTTATAGTGAGATTATGTGTTTAATATATCAGAATTTTACTCTTATATTATTTTTAGTTTTTACTAATCTAAACTTGCTGTGGGATCTGATTTTTGATAGGCATCATTTTCAGTATTACGCGGGGTTGTTGTTTAATTTTTGAAGGTGTAAACTCTCTAAATGAGGTTCTTCTTGACCATGTGTTGTTGCGATGTAGATATTTGCATATGCAGAGGGTTGTAGTTGGGGGCATAAGTAGGGAGGGAGGTATCAGTGTGTTCCTGATTTAGACAAGGAGGCCTTGTAAGCGACGACCATTTAACCTGTGTGATGTATTTTTTTTTGTAGTAGTTATTTGTTTTACCATCGTTGAACATGTTTTATATGTTTGGAAAGTTTTTAATAATAACCAAGTGATGGTAACCTTATAGCAAGTTTTTAAGATTTGGTGTGTGTTCACATCAATCTCTTCCATGGAACTAAATACTATATATTTGTGAAAATACTATACTCATGAGTCATGAGGAAATGAAAAAGGTCAGTCCCCATATTAAAAGTGATTAAATTTCAAAAGATAATATGAAACTACTATATATATATATATATATCTGTCCAGTATGTTACATGCATCATGCATGCATGCATTTTTGTTTTGGTTTATCTCTTTCTTTCAATCTAAATTTGGTTTTCGTTTTTCTTTTTTCTTTTTGATCAAATTTGGAAACAATTAAACAAACTTGTGAAAAAATAATGTCTTGAGCTGTTAGTTTTGGTATTCTATCGTTTATGGAGCAAATGGAGGTAAAGGAAGTGATTCCAAGTATCAGGAACACCAGGGAGACACCAATGACTGCAATCTTGAACAGCTTGTGACCTTCGTCTGTTCTCTGGTTTTGCTCCAAAGATAGAAGGGTGAGCATCGATTCTGTACTGAGATAAACCGCTAACGTTCAAGAGAGTAACTGGTGTTTTCATCTGCTTGAGTACTTCCTCAACAATGATGTTTTTGCCTGAATAACTCGGTTTGAATGTTTGATTCAACAGCTTGTTGGCTTCTCTGCAATGTCCTCCTGAGTTCCATTCTCCTCCTCTGTCGAAATAAACATTACTTTAGACAAAAGTTCGGTCTTTGAACCCACATGATAGATGGAGAAAAAGACCTGAAATGAGAAGGTGCTGCGCTTCTAAAGAAGACTCGAGTTTTCTTTGGATCGATATTTTTGTCAACCCATGATGACCAAGTCTGCAATGCTTTCTTGAAAGCGGTTGATACATCGAGCTTTGGATGAACCAAGTCTCCTTCTTGGTAATAGTTGATCCTGCAAAACTCAACCAGTTAAAGCCTTGTTTCTTCTGATGTCTTTCATTGATTCAGTAAAAAAAAACACTGACCCGGATTTGGTCTTGTAATGAGACCACCAATGTGCTGTATTGAACACCAAGATATTAGCACCTTTCCATCTCGAAGAGGTTCGATCCATAGCATCAATCCTAAGCGTTTCTCTTCTCTTCTTTCCGATTCTTGCTTTACCCTCACGAACCAAGAAATGAGTAACGTAGAATTCCACAGTGCATTTATAATCCTAATAGAGTAAACACACATTCATTAATCATAAATTCAAAAAAATCATCAGATACTGAAGTTGTTTTTACCGCAAAACGAAAGCTATAGTTCCCTTTCTCTTTAGTGATTCTTCGTTTATGCGTTTCATAAACTCTCTTGGGATCTTTAACAGCTTGAAACAACATACAAAGCATAGACTCCCACTGGTTTCTATTGATAGAATCACCAACAAACACTAGCCTTTTCCCTCTTATCATTTCCAACATCTTTGTAGCATTAAACCTAACCCAAATAGACAGCCACAACTTTCCTAATTAGGACACTATGATAATAAATAAGACCCAAGAGAAAAAAAAAGAACAACCTTGGAGTATCACAATCACGAGGCTCCCATCTCCACTTCATGTAATCAAGATCCAACCTTCCGTTGCTCTGACAAGCAAACCCTTCATCGATAAACGGACAAGAAGCATTCGTGTAGATTGGGTAGTCACTGTCGTAAACCCACTTCCCGTTCGTAACATCACACTCTTCGATTCTCTTCTTTGTCTTCTTCTTCTTCTCTTCGTCGTTGTTTCTCGTGAGTTCAATCACTTTGACTGATGAGGTTAGATTAGTAACGACCTTAACCTCGCCGCGAGTTTTGTGATCAAAATCCGGAATTTTTGCAGACCCGGAAGTGTTTTCGGGCGGGGGGAAATGGGTCGAGATCAGAATCGGAGCTTGTTGAGGAGAGACTGAAGAATCGGAGATGTGGTGGAGGTTGGTAGTCTCGTTAATGGATGCTAAAGGGCTTAAATCGATTTGGAAGTTAGCGTTTGAAGAGTTGGATTTGAGTAAGAGAGTGAAGAAAATAATGGCGGAAGTGATTGTTGTGATGATTAATGCTAAGAAGACTCTTGTGGACTTGATAGAGAAGCTTCTTTGTCTCTCCATCTCCTCTCTCTCACACTCTCTGTAACTGAAATGGACTTAGAGTCTCGTAAGAGGGTTAGTGAATTTCGACAATGCAAAGCAAATGTGTGAAGAAAACGGTGGTTGAGAGTAGGAATAGATTCGGTAGAGGGATGATAATGACGTTGTTACGAACTCTCTCGTGTGCTCATGAAAATTTCAATAATTAACGAACATTTGAGGAAAAAAAAGAGAGGAAAAAGGGGAAGGATAATGACTATTTAAAGTCAGGATTTGGAAATAGTTGTTGTTTTAAGTTTCTGTATGACAGATTGGATTTGGATTATTAACGTGGTGGGGGACACTGTCACTTTCGCTGGATTCGAGTTTTTCAAGGAACACGAGCCTCCTCCAATGGCCATCTTTTGAATTTCCATAAGTGCCCTCCGTATAATTTAATAGGAAGGTAGGCCCATATATGTTAAGCTTTATTAAGCCCATGTAAAGGCCCAATAAGGGAAGGATGGAGTAGAGGAGACTGAGTGATTGGGTTCTCTCTCATTTCTCTCAAGCTTCCGTTGTTTCGTCCGTGTTGCTTCTCTCTCTCTCTCGCTCATCTACGCGATTAGACTCGGTAAAATCTCAGATTCTTCCTTTAAGATCTTTCGTTTATCTTTTGAGTAGCTATCTAGATGTGTAGCGGATTTGATTTAGTGGAGATCCATGTGATTAGGATCGAAGTTTCTAGATTTATTTGGTTATGAATTGAATTGAATCTCTTAGGGTATCGATCTGTGAAGAATTTATCAGTTTCTTCTAGAAAAGACAGTTTCATTTCGTATTTTGCTGTTTCTTGAATCTGAGTGTTATCCAATATTAGAGTTGTGTGTGTGTATGTGTTCAGACTCATTTCATATTTGAAACATAAGACTTTGTGTGTTTAGACTCATTTCAAGAGTGTGTTTGTGTGTAAATATAATAAAATTTAGCTTCATGAGAGAGATGTCTTTATTGGTTGTTAAATAAACATTTTCAGCTTTTGAAGTTCTTTAGTTATGTTAATAGTAGTATTTGGCTCTATGCAGAGGATTTGTGCTAGGTTGAAATGGCAGGACACAAGGTTGCACATGCGACACTGAAAGGCCCAAGTGTGGTGAAGGAGTTAGTCATCGGTTTGGCACTCGGTTTAGCTGCTGGTGGTCTCTGGAAGATGCATCACTGGAACGAGCAGAGGAAAACCAGAGCTTTCTATGACTTGCTTGAGAGGGGTGAGATCAGCGTTGTCCACCCTGAAGAGTAGTGAATTCAACACCTACCATTCAATGTTGTCGGCTCTGGTTTTTTTTTTATGTTATTGTATGGTTTCTGAGAAAAAAAGAGTTTGCTTAAGAAATAAACACAACAAATCTGAGACTGGATTTTGGTGGATTTGTTAAACAGACGTATTGTTTTGATGAGATTCATGGATGCTACTGTGCTCTCCATTGTTTAATTTCAGACTGCTTTCTTGACTTTTCTTTAAACAAAACTGGTTATTTTCATTTTTCAACCACTATCTTATCCTATCCAAGACTATAATATGTTACAGGTTTCTCTTTTCTCGTCTTTGATTATACACTTATAAATAACTTTGTGTGGTATGTGTTCTTTGAATAACGACTTGGACGGCTACAATTTTTCAACGTCGTACTAGCACACACACACAAAATGTTCATCGAGAAAACATTTCATAGTTCGATCGAATAATCAAAAATATCTCAAGAGCTTTCATGCACGTGTAACTCTTTGGCTGATTAAAAGGAGATAAGAAATGGGGTTCACAGAATTAAATTCAAGCACACTTTATATAATCTCCTTAACGCTCAAATTTATCTGACTATATCTTCTCTTTATCAAACAAAACACTCAAAATCTGCTTGCCTGTTTTTTTGATTCATCAAAACGATGGCAACTATTGCTACTAGCCTTAACATCGTACCCCAACGAGCCATCATCACCAGCAAGACCCAACCAGCTCGTCTCACCTGTCCTGTCCGTTTGAACAACCCATGGAATCTTGCTTCAAGAGCAACGAACCGCATGGTTAACTTTAGGCCGGTTAAAGCAACACCAGAAGGAGTGATATCAGATAAAGTAGAGAAGAGCATCAAAGACGCTGAGGAGACTTGTGCTGGCGACCCAGTTAGCGGAGAGTGTGTAGCTGCGTGGGACGAGGTTGAAGAGCTCAGCGCAGCAGCTAGCCACGCGAGAGACAAGAAGAAAGCTGATGGCTCGGACCCTTTGGAAGAATACTGCAAAGACAATCCCGAGACCAACGAGTGCCGTACTTACGACAACTGAGTCGATCATGTTCCAAGATTCCGTCCATATATTAAATACAAATCTTTGTTCCAATCAGTTTAGTAAAGTCATATACTCAAGCAGCTCTATAAACATTGTAATTTTGCAAGATTTATAAACTTAAATAGTTAAATCGAAGAAATCATATAATATTAAGCTTGAATACATTAAAAACACACATAAAGAAACCAAAACAAATAACAAACTTATCTTATGTAATAAACGACACAAGACCAGAGGAGACGAACATAAAATTATAAAGACAACACACACCAATGACTCTAATTGCAACAAAATACCACCACGACAAGGACAAAGACAAATGAGTAATCCGACCAACACGCAATCTCAATCTCCTCCTCAGCAATCAAACATATCAGCAGAAGCCCTAATGGGTTGCATCGGACAAGAAACCTGCCAAGGATTAATCTCTGGAATATCCAAAGCCTGACCACTAATCTCTTCAACCATCTCAAGCACAGAGTTCAACGATCTCAACCTCTCCGTCAACTCCACAGCTTGTGCTCTCAGCACATCGTTTCTCGACTCCATCTCCACGTACTTCCTCGTAACCGCATCAACCTGCTCAGTGATCTTCGCGTTATCATTCTTCAGAACAGTCACTTCATTAATCAGATCACCGAGTTGCTTCTGTTTCCTCATCCTCGATCTCCGTGCAGACTCTCTGTTGGAGATCATTCTCTTCCTCTTTTTTTCATCTGTGACCGAAGCGTAGTTGTTGTCGGAATCAGGACTTGTCTGTCTTTGTAACGACCCCATTGACTTTTTCAAAATTTTAAACAATGTAATAATAATATATTTTCCTCTAATTTATCAAAGAATTGGTTAAATCAAAATCAGATCGGAGAAAGATTAGTAGTTCAAGAGAAAACGTAAGAGTAGTAAAGGTAAACGACGGAGAAAGAGTGTACAATTCGAATCCGACGAAACAGAATTGAGCAGCTCATAGATTCATTCCTTAGATCTAAAAAAAGTCAACAAGCGAAAGAGAAGATGATTTTGAAAATTGAGAAAGAGATTGAATCAAAGCTTAGCTGAATCGAGAGAGAAAACGAAAATAAATTAAAAAAGGGTATAGATCAGAGGCGAAACGAAAGAAGGAGATGAAGTAACACCCGAGGGGTGTTTTTAAAGGAGAATGAAGATGATGATGATGAGCTGGCAAAAGCTTTTTCAATTAATTTTTTAATAATTAAAAAAGGGAAGATAATCTGAATTGGAGACTGACGTTAGCTGTGACGGCAGCTGGAGTTTTTATTAAGGGAAGCACGTTTGTTTCTCCGTCCTTTCGTGGATGGAATATTCCAGGAAGATGCCTCCAAAGAAAATATCATAATGTATTTGGTGAGACTTACTCTCTTTGCTTAGTTTGAAATTTTCCACATGTTAAAGCAATGTGTAACACACAATTCATCACCGTTAAATGATTAAATTATATAATAAACCCACCGTTAAATGATTAAATTATATAATAAACCCACCGTTAATTATAATCGAAGTCTACTAGTATATAGTTTTTTACTGAATGACGACGTGATGATCAACATCATACCAATGCCAAAAATTTTGTTAAGAAACTAACAAATGGGCTTACAGGGTTAAGAGAAATTAGCTCGTTGGCTTTCTAATTAACTTAATAGGCCTGATTAGCTTTGCCCTATTTACGATTGGGTGATATATTTACAAGCAAAAACAAAACAGAAAAGAAGACTACGAGGCAGAAGACTCTAGTGTTGCCTTGTTGCAGATGCTCTTCCATTTGTCCTTGAGATCAGTGGGAGTGCGTGACTTGTGGAAAACATTCTTTCCCATTGCAAGAATCTTCCTCCATGGGATGTTCTTCCTCCATGGGATGTTCTCCACTCCCATCTACACCATTTACATATGTATCAACACGAGTTCAAGAGTCAGAAACAAAAATAGATTAGTGTTTCTTATTAAGTACATACCCTCAGCATCTCTTCTTCTTGGGGCGTCCAAAATTTCCTTCCCTGGTTCTTAAAACTAATGGGCGTCCAAAGTCTCCTTCTCTGCTTTCCCTAAATGTTCAAAGGGATCAAAAACTTAAAAAAGAAGCCATGATAAAGTTGTATAAGCTAGGCTTGAGAAAGTTTAACACATTGATAGATGCAAGAAAAGTTTTCTAATTGTCTCAATATAAAAGGTTTTTTTGTTCGAACATACCTCTGACATTCTTTTAGGAGATAGTGTCGAGCTCCATACTGCTTTCTCCTTCTCCATCTCTACAAGCGAGGTCCCCATATGCTGTTTGTTGATATATCTCTCGAGGAGGGCCCTTTGGCTATGCAACCTGTCTAACTCTCTCTCAGTTTCCAGCATGTTAATCTGTTGGACAAAACATATCAACAGGGTAAGCATAAAGCCGAAATAGAAAGAAAAGATACTTCACTAGATAGGTTCCAGTTTCACGTAAAGAAAAGAATAAAGGCACCTTCTCTTGGAGTTGCTTAATGAGAAGAATATCTTCTGGATCCCTAATTTGTACACTGCTTTCACCCCGATGCACATTACCAACCACTCGGCAATCTAAATGCTTGCATGTTGTTGCTTCACCAGATAAATCATTTTCGCCCAACTTTTCCTTAAGGTACTCAGTTCGTATTTCGTTGGTGATTCCCTATTGGAAGGTGCAGAGTAATAAGAAACAGAAATCACAAGCTACTGATGTTGACTGAGAAGGGCAAAGTATTACCTCAGTTTCAGATTGCAAGAAAAGATCCTCATATTCCCTTTGAGCTCTGTCTGACTCGCTTTCAACCTATGAAACAGTAACAATATGCCAGCTTTACAACAAGATAAGCACAAGATATATTCAAAAAGAAAGACTGACCACTACGGGAATTTTCTGCCTCATTGATGATGGTTTCTTTCTCCTAGTCACATGCACTAAAGCATATGGATCTGGAAGTGCAGAATCTTCAAGGGTTTCATCTTGCTCGCTGATGCTACATAAACGCTCGTTTTCTACCACTTGCGCAAAAGGAAGTAGTGGGCCTGGCTCACGCTCGGATCTTTCAGATTTAAGAGAGGGTCCCCTTGACAAGACATGAGACTGAACCTGATTTGCAAGACAGACAGTATTTTTATGGCTGAAAAAGTAAAAAATTTCTCATGTTTTTGTTGGCCACTAATATAATTTTACCTCTGATGTGGAGTCCCGTGAAAGGTGACCAGAAACCCATGTATCCCTCCTCTTTCCCTGCAAGGATATGTTTTCGAATAAACGTATAAGGCCTAGCAGATGTTGTTTTAAACTCTAAAGGTATCCACTAAGACAATAATGAAAAAATCACCTTCTTAAAGTGATCCTGCTCACGCTTCTCATCCCTATTCGAAAAAACAACCATTGAACTCAAGTTCTCAATTTTCTTTGCTTGCTCTTGCAAAACCTTTTCCCTCTGAGCTTGTGCCTTTTTCTCCTCATCTAGTTCCATTGCTATCCGCTCTCTTTCTAATTCAGACTGCAGAAAAACGGGTTGTGTCATTAAAACATATTAAAACTAATCAACTAAAGAATCAAGAACACAAATGCCAACCAGACCTTCAACAAGGTGTTGCGCAAGTTAAGAATCTCTTCGTCCGAATGGTCAGAGCGAGAAGTCTGCAATAGAAAAGCTGATCATTTACCCAATATATAAACATAAAAAAAAAGCTTTGAGAATTAAAATGAAAATAATTTAGCAACCTTTGTATTGGATCTGTGCTCCTCTATTTCCTTCTTCTGGCGCTTTAACAAAGCAGCATCAGTTGATATCTGCATCATAAACACAAGAATGGATAGGTTATTTAGTTTTGAAACATGAACGTCTTATATACCAAACTTAATCAGTAAGTATGTCACAAAGATAAAGAGAATAAGCCGAAGATGATTGATTGGATCGTACCTCGTTCACATGGACACAATTAGTGATACGTAGTGCTCGGCTAGCAAACTGAAGACTGCTCTTGGTTTCATCTGCATGGATCTGAAATTAAAAAGATTATAACAGTGTTAGTTTATCTCATTGCTTATCCTCATGTTATAGCATTGGTGATCAATACGTACAGGTGCAAGTGTTATATTGCATATGATAGCTGTATTTGCATTTCCACCTAAAGCTGGTTGCAGGATCCTTGTAAGCTTGCTGTCTCGGTACGGAACATGACCACTGATTCAATTCAAGAAGATGTCAATAAGAGACATTACACATAATGCTTTTTAACGTAACAAAACGAGACCAAAACTTACCCTTGTTTTTCAACTCCTTCACTCAGTTTTTTAATTACAGTCCCGAGTGTCATCAAACTCTTATTTATATGTGAGCCTTCCTTGAGCCTAACACCCTCAGCACCCGTTTTTGAAGCTCGTTCCGAACCAGCTAGATCCACTAAATTCTACAAGTAAAGAAAAAAGAAAGATGAAACACAGAATAACATGGTGTATATGAGGAGAAGGAAAACACTAGGAGATAGTACCAGAACAGAAACACGGACTGCATCATAGGCATTTCCAACACCTTCATCTAGAGTCTTCTGACTACTTTCTATAATCTGTTTTGATGACAAAAGATTTTCCCGTTTAAATTCAACTGACACATAATTGAGCAGCACTAAGGTTGAGTATAATTTACCATGCGGAAAATAGTGTGAGATCTGCTACTGTGAAGATTCATATTTGTCTCCCCAATATGCCGATGAGCTGAAATGAATAACCATTCACTAAATCAGTGACTTCGACAGGAAAAAAGGAATGTATTTGCAGAGATATACAAAAAAAAAGAAAACTCTTTGTTTGGGAAGAGAAGACTACATTCTCCAAGTTCCATGAATTCAAGGACTTGTTGAGGGGAAGCAACAATTTCTTCTCGTAGACCAGCCACAAATATTCCTTTCTACAAACATTTTAAGATTGAACAAAAAATTAAACCGCATCAGCTCAGACTCTCGCTAGATAGAAGATTATAAGAAGACATATACCTGTAGATTCTCATGAATATGGAGTTTTTTGCGGTGATCAGGAGCCAAGAGATCGTTTATATCTTCATTATAAATCTCAAGGTAGGACATACGCACAAGAAACTCCCTGCTTGCATCCTTGTGAGAGAAAAAGGAAAAACCTCCAATTAAAAAAAAAAAACTAAAGAAAAGAAATGGTAAAAGAAAAGTGAAGCGAACCTGATAAATAGAGTCAAACAAATCATGAAGAGCAAGAGGGATGAGACCAGGTTCAGTTGGTGAGCCTCGCATTGTATGTGTCTTGCCACTATTAGTTTGCCCATAAGCAAACACAGTTCCTTCAAAACGAAACGAAGGACAGAGATACGATTATATTATTATTGTATTATAAGCAGACTTTGTACATTTGAGATGAATCAATTAATTAATGAGACTAATGATGTTTACTCATCCTAGATTAGCGGGAAAACGACAAGAGGCATGAGAGATATCAAAACTGAAGCGAAAACCCAAAGTAAGTAAAATCAGCTCAGAGAGTAATTTTGTTACCGTTGAATCCACGAAGGGCAGCAGAGACGATATGCTTGGTCCGAGCTTCATAGACTTGTAGAGTTTTACAATCCTCTCTGAAAATCCTATCTGCCGTTGCAAGAGAGAGATTGAGCATAGAAAGTTTCCAGAAAAGATATGGAGAGAATTAGAAGAAACGTACCAAAGTTGAATGAGAGATGAGAAGAGTGTCTGGGCATGAAAATTGAATCTGAAGAGATCTTCCATGGACTTGCCTTCGCTTCCTCCTCAGTCGAAAGCGGACGAGGTCGGACTGACACGTGTATTTTCTCCATCTCCCCCGAGATCTCCGCTGCAGGGGACGGAGTTGCCCTAATCCCTCTACTGATTTGCTGTTCTGTTCCCTCTTGAAATTTCATTTTGTTTTGTATTTATTTTGTTTTCAAAGCCAAAAATGTGGTTAAAGACTCAAATACCCTTAATAAATCACGAGTATATTTACTGACCCAACCAGCCATACCAAAAAAAAAATTGGGTCGGATCGCAGAGGATTGATTGGCTCGAGAAGCTCACTCACGTCTTGAGGTTTGTTAAGACAGGAGGCTTCAAGGAAATGGTCGTCGCTGTCCCTCCCTGAAGCTAAGCCGTGGGGCACTTTCTTTATTTGGTTTCTCTATTGCTGTTTAGCTTTGTGACACAGTAAAATTACTGCTTTGGAAAGCTCAGTACTTTTGTAGATGATTCCCTGCTTCAGTTGAATGTTGCGTTCTTGGTTGATTAGATTAGATATGGTTTCTATCTCTTTGTTTAAATTCTAGCAAAAAGATTGGTAAAAGCAATTTGGGAGGGTTAATAATGAGCCGTGTTGATTGGTCATTTTTTGGATTCTGAACTTGATTAGGTAAACCATGGTTGATTATTTATGGGTTTAATTTTGAAGAGTGTCTGTGTGGTAACACTTGATAAAAGGGTTATTAAGATTGGCAACTTTTTAGATTTGGTATAGTGAGAATGGATATAGAGAAAAGGTAATGGGTGTATAAGCCAATCTTCTTTGTGAAGTCTGTGCTTTAGATTTTTTTTCCAATGGTGCTTTGTTATTTTCATGTGACTGCTACGTTTCACTCTCATATGAATTGTTTAAGCTTATGTGTCCAAAGTTGTTTTGTATTATCTGTTTGTTCTAATAACTTTCAACTGTGTTCTGTTTTTTCCATGTGATTAGTGACTGTTAGACCAAAAGCAATTGCAGCTGTTTATGGCCTGCCCAAGAGAGGTACTTTATTATTATTACTCATAAGATTGGTGATGCTATTATTTTTGTATCTCTGTATGTATGTACTCGTTCAGGTTCAGAACAAGAGCCAACAAAAAGAATGGTCATGCATTGGTAATGTATATGTTTTCACCTGTTTGTTGTGTGTGTATTTGAAATGATTATGGATTTTCGCTCTAATTGGTAGGTGCTTTGTGAGTATAGTATGGTTCATTTTAGTACCGGTGATCGTAGAAGACATAAAAACGACAGGTTACACATTTTCTAAATATCTAAAAGCCTCCAACTTGTTTATTTTGCAAATAATCATTTAAAAAAAGAATTGAATAGTTGTGTTATTATGGTCAGGCGATCAACTCTCTTGTCATCCGCCAGACAATTGAAGCTTCCATATTAACCCAACTCTTGCCTCATTCTCAGGTTCCCCTTCTTCTTACTTTCCCTTTGAATTTTAGAAATCATTCAGAATATTGAGTTTTAGATTGTTTCTTTTTATTGCTGCAGATTGACATCTTCCTTCAAGTTCTGCAAGATGATGGAGGTAACTGTTATAAACCCCCCCACCCCCCTCTTTAATCTCTGGATCTTTTCATTAAATGTTAATGTTTTGTGTTAAGGAACAAGATCAGCTTGTATCAATGCTGCGACTCTAGCTCTTTCAGACGCTGGAATTACCAATGCGTGATCTTGCTGTTTCCTGTAGTGTTGGTTACTTGAACAGTACTCCACGTCTTGACCTTAACTATGTCGAAGATAGCGCTGGTGGAGCTGAGATGTTACCGTCTGTATTCTACCTAAATTAGACAAAGTGACACTCCTTCAGGTGTTTTATCCTTCTTCTCTATTCTCTTCTTATATATAAACACTTCTCTTACATCCCCAATCAAATTGTTTTTTTTTAATAATTATGTATTTGTTGAAAATGTGTAGATGGATGCAAAGTTACCTATGGAAAGTGGAAACATTTGAAACGGTTTTTTGCCTTGGCGTCTGAAGGTTGCAAGGGCCAATGCAGAGAGAGTACGCGAGGGAAAAACTTCAGATTCGAATAACCATTGGTTCTGCTTTTTGAACACAGCAAATATCTGGAGTTATCGTCGTGCTGCATAAACTTCAGAGCTAGAGGAAAAAACTTAGATGTCCCAAGCTTTTTTGTAAATGACACATGTTAAATGTTTCTGCTAATTTTCTCAAACTCAAAGTTACACATTTTATGTTGTTAGTTAATATATGATTAAACTATGATATAATTTTATTTTTTTATTTCTAAGGATAACTGAATACATATTAATTGATAATAATATTTTAACTTATGTTATTTAACTTAACAAAACCCAGTACATGGACATCAGTTATCTTTTTTGATCAAACCAAACTTACATTAACTTAAATATGTTTACACTCCAATAAAGGAGGATACAAAGGGGCTATTGACAGCCAAACAAACGGCAACAACAATAACATAGGGGATAGAATAGCGATACAAATCACAAAAAGGAACCATATGAAATTATATCACAACAACATCTAGTGTAACCCGTAAGACCACACACACTGCACCATACGCAGAGAAGAACATTCGAAGGGAGAAAGATCCTTGCAATACCAAGGAAACATGTACATCCAATCCACTCCATATAGGAGGAAATATTAGGAGAGAAGNTAGGGGATAGAATAGCGATACAAATCACAAAAAGGAACCATATGAAATTATATCACAACAACATCTAGTGTAACCCGTAAGACCACACACACTGCACCATACGCAGAGAAGAACATTCGAAGGGAGAAAGATCCTTGCAATACCAAGGAAACATGTACATCCAATCCACTCCATATAGGAGGAAATATTAGGAGAGAAGACTGATTCAAACGAGGAACCAACGGGAAATCATAACCCGCCACATCCATATTCATCGGGATAAAGATGACAATGAGTTTCTCTTCAACCTACCACCAAGAAGAGAGATACACGAACACAACACCAACATCCAGAGAGAAACCCGTAAAAGAACTACATACTGCAGTCGATCGCGCCAAGATGGATGCAAAGTTACCTATGGAAAGTGGAAACATTTGAAACGGTTTTTTGCCTTGGCGTCTGAAGGTTGCAAGGGCCAATGCAGAGAGAGTACGCGAGGGAAAAACTTCAGATTCGAATAACCATTGGTTCTGCTTTTTGAACACAGCAAATATCTGGAATTATCGTCGTGCTGCATAAACTTCAGAGCTAGAGGAAAAAACTTAGATGTCCCAAGCTTTTTTGTAAATGACACATGTTAAATGTTTCTGCTAATTTTCCCAAACTCAAAGTTACACATTTTATGTTGTTAGTTAATATATGATTAAACTATGATATAATTTTATTTTTTTATTTCTTTAAGGATAACTGAATACATATTAATTGATAATAATATTTTAACTTATGTTATTAACTTAACAAAACCCAGTACATGGACATCAGTTATAATTTTATATTTATGGTAGGTTTTCTAGAAATTTTATATGCTAAATTTATTTTTATGGTACATGGACATTAGTTATAATTTTCCAACGAGTAATTTAATAAACCTTAATATACTACCCTAAACCAAGAGCTAAACTCTATAAAACCTATATAAACTTGAGAAACTGGGACAAAATATATGTCATGCATATTTAATCTTCATCCTATATATGTGTTAGATGCATTTACACACTAAAATAAAAATATCATTTTTTCTCATTTATTTTGAAATCTGTGGATTAAGCCCTATAAATATATCGAGTTTTTTGGAAAGATGTTATATACATAAAGTTTGGCTCTTTCTTTTTTTAAAAAAAAAAACTAATCACATTATACATATATATTAATGTATGTTAAACATATATACCTAAAATACCTAATCACATTATATATATATATATATATATATATATATATATATTTACATGTATATTAGGATACAAAACTTAGGATTTAGGGTTACAAAACCTAGGATTTTGGGTTACGAAATCTAGGGTTTAGGGTACGAAATCTAGAATTTAGGATTTAGAGTTACGAAACCTAGAATTTATGGTTACCAAACCAAGGATTTATGGTTACCCAACCAAGGATTTAAAGTTACGAAACTTACGGTTTAGGGTTATGAAACCTAGGTTTTAAGGCTACCAAACCTAGGATTTAAAGTTACGAAACTTAAGATTTAGGGTTACCAATGCTAGGATTTAGTGTTACCAATCCTAGGATCTAGGGTTTAAGGGTTACGAAACCTTGAGTTTAGGGTTACGAAACCTAGGGTTTAAGGTTACAAAACCTAAGGTTTAGGGTTACGAAACCTAGGATTTAGGGTTTCGAAACCTATGATTTAGGGTTTAGGGATACGAAACCTAGCGTTTAGGGTTACAAAACCTAAGGTTTAGGGTTACGAAACCTTGATTTAGGGTTTAGAAACCTAGGGTTTAGGGTTACGAAACCTAGGATTTAGGGTTTAGGGATACGAAACCTAGGGTTTAGGGTTACAAAACCTAAGGTTTAAGGTTTAGGGTTTAAGGTTACAAAAACCTAGGGTTTAGGGTTACGAAACCTAGGATTTAGGGTTACGAAACCTAGGATTTAGGGTTACGAAACCTAGGATTTAGGGTTTAGGGATACGAAACCTAGGGTTTAGGGTTACAAAACCTAAGGTTTAAGGTTTAGGGTTTAGAAACCTAGGGTTTAGGGTTACAAAAACCTAGGGTTTAGGATTATGAAACCTAAGGTTTAGGGTTACGAAACCTACGATTTAGGGTTTAGGGTTAGGAAACCTAGGATTTAGGGTTTAGGGTTAGGAAACCTATGATTTAGGGTTTAGGGTTATGAAACCTAAGGTTTAGGGTTTAGGGTTTAGGGTTAGGAAACCTATGATTTAGGGTTTAGGGTTATGAAACCTACGGTTTAGGGTTTAGGGTTACGAAACCTATGATTTAGAGTTAGGGTTACAAAAACCTAGGGTTTAGGGTTTAGGATTATGAAACCTAAGGTTTAGGGTTTAGGGTTACGAAACCTACGATTTAGGGTTTAGGGTTATGAAACCTATGATTTAGGGTTTAGGGTTTAGGGTTAGGAATCCTATGATTTAGGGTTTAGGGTTACGAAACCTAAGGTTTAGGGTTACAAAACCTACAATTTAGGGTTACAAAAACCTAGGTAGGGTTAGGAAACCTAGGAATTAGGGTTTAGGGTTAGGCAACCTAGGGTTTAGGGTTATGAAACCTATGATTTAGGGTTTAGGGTTTAGGGTTAGGAATCCTATGATTTAGGGTTTAGGGTTACGAAACCTAAGGTTTAGGGTTACAAAACCTACAATTTAGGGTTACAAAAACCTAGGTAGGGTTAGGAAACCTAGGAATTAGGGTTTAGGGTTAGGCAACCTAGGGTTTAGGGTTATGAAACCTATGATTTAGGGTTAGGAAACCTATGATTTAGGGTTTAGGGTTACAAAAACCTAGGGTTTAGGGTTAGAAAACCTAGGAATTAGGGTTTAGGGTTAGGCAACCTAGGATTTAGGGTTTAGGGTTAGGAAACCTAAGTTTTAGGGTTTAGGGTTAGGAAACCTATGATTTAGGGTTATGAAACCTAAGGTTTAGGGTTTAGGGTTACGAAACCTACGATTTAGGGTTTAGGGTTAGGAAACCTACGATTTAGGGTTTAGGGTTACGAAACCTACGATTTAGGGTTTAGGGTTAGGAAACCTAAGGTTTAGGGTTTAGGGTTATAAATCCTAAGGATTAGGGTTTAGGGTTACAAAACCTAAGGTTTAAGGTTTAGGGTTATGAAACCTATGGTTTAGGGTTTAGGGTTATGAAACCTATGATTGAGGGTTACGAAACCTATGGTTTAGGGTTATGAAACCTATGGTTTAGGGTTTAGGGTTACGAAACCTAAGGTTTAAGGTTTAGGGTTATGAAACCTAAGGTTTAAGGTTTAGGGTTATGGAAACCTATGGTTTAGGGTTATGAAACCTATGGTTTAGGGTTTAGGGTTACGAAACCTAAGGTTTAAGGTTTAGGGTTATGAAACCTAAGGTTTAAGGTTTAGGGTTATGAAACCTAAGGTTTAGGGTTACGAAACCTATGGTTTAGGGTTTAGGGTTATGAAACCTATGATTGAGGGTTACGAAACCTATGGTTTAGGGTTTAGGGTAATGAAACCTATGGTTTAGGGTTACGAAACCTATGGTTTAGGGTTTAGGATTACGAAACCTATGGTTTAGGGTTATGAAACCTAAGGTTTAGGGTTTAGGGTTATGAAACCTAAGGTTTAAGGTTTAGGGTTACGAAACCTAAGGTTTAAGGTTTAGGGTTACGAAACCTATGGTTTAGGGGTTAGGGTTTAGGGTTAGGAAACCTATGGTTTAGGGTTTAGGGTTATGAAACCTAAGGTTTAGGGTTTAGGGTTATGAAACCTAAGGTTTAGGGTTTAGGGTTGTGAAACCTAAGGTTTAGGGTTTTGGGTTACGAAACCTATGGTTTAGGGTTTAGGGTTATGAAACCTATGGTTTAAGTTTTAGGGTTTAGGGTTACGAAACCTATGATTTAGTGTTTAGGGTTATGAAACCTAAGGTTTAGGGTTTAGGGTTACGAAATTTAAGATATAGAGTTCATGGTTACAAAACTTAAGATTAAGGGTTTAAGATTACGAAACCTATGATTTAGGGTTTAGGGATAGGAAACCTAAAATTTAGGGTTTAGAGATAGAAAACCTAAGATTTAGGGTTTCTGGTTACAAAACCTAAGATTTAGGGTTTATGGTTATGAAACCGAGAATTTAGAGTTTAGTGTTACGAAACCTAGATTTTATAGTTACAAAACTTAGAATTTAGGGTTATGAATAATATGTGTGTATATCTTTTTTTTTCTGTGTCAATTATCTGTTTAATATATAAGTTTTAAATTTCATGATTTATTTATTTGATTAGTTTTATTTTTATATCACTGATTTCTAAACTTGTTTTTTTTTTTAAATGTTGGTTATTCTTTTTTATGTTTGCTTATTTGTTTGTTCTCTTGTTTTATGTATTATTTGTTGTTTGTTTATGTGTTTTGTTTCTAATCAAATAGAGTGATATAGTGAAAATAGTCGAGAGGGGAAACTCTAATTGCCGGATTGATTAAGAACCACAAAGTGAAGTGATCCATTAAGTGTAAAAAGGTAAAAAGAAGTATAAGGATCGCTGAACACCACTGATAAATCAATGACAAGACCTGCATCCAATTTATTTTACACGTTCGGAATCTCAGCCTAAGTGTCTCACTAATTAATCCATTAATATTGCATCTCCCCACTCAAAACCGAAAAAGCTTTTGACAAAGAAAAAAAATCATTTTAGAAAATAGAGAAATTCATCACACAACACAAAGAAACCAATGAAAAAAGATTTTTGATTATATGTATACTCATGTATGTCTATGCATGTATGCATATATAAAAGTGTAAGTATATGCATATATATAAGTGTAAGTATATGCGAATGTATATATGTAAATGGAAAAATGTGTATGTAATATGTATGTATAATATGTGTGTAATATTTTTTGAGCAACATATGCGTGTGATACATAAGTTTTCAATTTCATAATTTATTAATTTGATTAGTTTTATTTTTATTTTATATTATTTGACTCTTTATCTTGTTTTTGTTATATCAATAAAAAAGTGAATTGATTTTATAAAAGTAAAACAAGTTGAAATTATAAATTCTAACGATCATGAATTATTAAGATAACGTATTCGGTTAGTTTCTCTAATCATATATATCATTCAAGTTTATTGGTTCATTTAGTAATAACTTTTTTTCAGCAATAACTTATAATTTCTATTAAATTTGGTAAGATTATTTACTAATGTCTGTTCTTTAAGATAAGTTTTTATTTTCATAATTGATTTATTAGATTAGTTTTTTTGTTTGGTAGACTTATCATACATTGTTTATTTTTTTATAAGCTAACGTTTAGTTATTATGGCTTATTTCCCTTTATTTGATTGATTCAACAATAGTTTTCTTAATTTAACAATAACTTATAATCTCTATTAATTTGGTAAAATTATTTATTATACATTGTTCTTTAAGATAAGTTTTGACTTTCATGACTTATTATTTGATTAGTTTTTGTTTTCGAATTGGTAAACTTATATCACATTGTTTATTTTTTTGTAAGCTAAAGTTTTAGTTATCATAGCTTATTTATTTGATTAGTATTTCTTTTAGTTGTGAACATAGAAAAGAAAATGGAGAACTGACCTTTTTAATCTTTTAGCCGTCTAGTACTAAAACAAACCATTGGTGTAACATCATCCGCAAAGATACTCAAAAACTGCAAGATCAAGAAGGCACTTTGTTATTTTATACTTCAAAAAACTTTAGACATGAGAGTTGCCTTAAGATTCTTTCAACCCATTCTTAAAATTCTCAGCTTGTGGTAAGCTGCAGAATCTGATAGCTCCCTGAGCTTAGATTCTCTTTCCTCAGTGACCTTTTAAGCAGAAAATATAAACTTAGTGATGAAACCATTGACAAAAAGAACTTCTCAAGCATTTATGATCAGGGATTACAAACCTTAAAGGCTGGAAAACGTTCAAACAAAACCTATGATGTTTATATTTAACTTGTAATCAGAATCCTAAAACAGGGATTTATGGATGAACAAGCAAGCATGATTCGGGTAAAAGAAACAAGATCCAGAACACAGAGAAAAGAAATAGGGGTTTGTGTCCATTCAGCTAGCTAAGACCAGAATCCATCGGACACAAACCTATCGTAATGAAACCAAAGACTGTCCTAATTCATTTTGTTTCACTATTCTATACATCTGCGTCTAAAACTTTTTTTTTTTAATTTCAAGCCATGAAAACAAGCTACTTCAGTAGAATAGAAAACCAGAGATACTTTACCTTCCAAAAAAAAGTCTGTGATTTTCTTTGAGTAGATGTTGCTCTCACCACAACATGGCTGAATAAATCTTTGCAGATTTGAGTTGTTGTGTCGGGTTCTCTGCTTGCTCACTCGTTGATGTCTTCAGCTTCTTCTTGGATTCGTCATTGAGCTCTCAGACAGTCACTTGCCAGAGTGCTATATCCAAAGGACAACCGGAGGGAACTGGATCTTGTCCACCTGAAGGAAGCTTGTAGGACGAGCTCAGTGTTCCAAAGGAAGCACCAGTTTTTTTTTTATTAACAGAAAAGAGTAGTTAGTAATATATAATCTTCTTCCTCCTCTCCCAAAAAAAAACGAGAAAGAAGAGGAATTCATACCTTAGGGGTGAGAAAGGGATACTGGACTCAGAGACGGTGGCGAGAAGTTCATTTACTTTGGGAATCAGAATCTCACTGTGCGTTTCCCGGGAAGCTCACCTACAAAGCAAAAAAAAAAACATCAAGAGGAGAAAATTTGAATTCAAAAAGTTCAGTAAAAAAAAAAAAACTTTGAATTCAAACTAAACAATACGATTCATAAGGCTGGCAAATCAGACTATCCTAACACCCAAAACAGCTCTAACAGATTAAAGAGAAAGACGAGATCTCAAAAACGTATATATGCATAATCTTATCAAACAAATTAAAGAGAAAGACAGAGAGAGATTTGTATTTAGTGGAAGGGATGATACTAACAATGTCTTTTGTCTTCATATTCTTCATCAGGTTCTTCTGTGTATGGTTTACAAACACATTTGCCTCGATTATCTTAATCTCCTCCTGCATAAATTCCCAAAACAATTGTCTCAAGAGGCTGAAACTAGAATGTTGTTACTCAAGTAAACACCGAGTCTGAGTGTTTTTTTTAAAAACTTACAAAGAGGACGGTCGCTTTCATCTACAGGCCGTACATTCTCCATTGCTGCTAGTGTTGCCAAACCACCAACAACTCCACCAAACACTGTGTGCTTGCTTGCTTGTAGTTCAGATGGATTTGTATAAGATGAAGAGATTTGATTATTGTTATTGTTTTCTTGACGGAAACGAGAATGGGATTATCTGATGTGAGTTTGTAGGAAGTGAACTTTTAAAAAGGAAAAAGACAACGGCTACTTCCCGAAAACCAAAAAAAAAAGACAACGGCTACTTCTGGAGAGCAAAACAAAAAGAAATATATAAAAGGAAATTTTCAGACACGCACACGCGCAGCTTTGTTTTTTCAGCTTCTTACTGGGCTATCTTTGTGGGCCTTTGTTACTGAAAATTCAAAAGTGACATGTTGTTGTTCTCAATGATTCTTGCAAAGTAGAGCTAACATAATAAAAAAATTGGCATTTATGTAGTTGTTTCGTTTCTTCTCACTATACACACAACAAATCAACAGTGTTTGTACACAAAATTGTAATAATCACATTACACACAAAGCACAAATCAAATATGTTTCGTCATCATCATCAGTCTCACCACCAAGAACACATAACAGTAGTATATGATGTGTGCTTTGTGTGTACCAAGGCTGGTCCGTATAACATATATCTCCAACCGTTACTAATACCATGCCTGTTCATAATGTTCACACATAACAGTTAAAACAAAATGATGGAGCATACATATCAAAGATTGATAGCAGAATAACACTGCAACTTACACAAGGAGACAAGGAAGAAGATGACAAAAAAAATGTTGAAATTTTCTCCATTGTATTGTTGTTGCTTTGATAATTTATATTCATATATGCTTGTGTTTACTGAGCTGATTTTGGATTTATAGGTGCATCCATACATACATTATAAAGGTGATTTAGCGTTTAGATTGTATCATTCTTTTTTTTTTTTTTTTTTTGACCAAAGAGATTGTATCATTCTAATGCCACAAATTGTTAAGAAATTGCCCCATTTTGATGGGCTTATAGAGTGGGAGAGAAGTTAGCTCGTAGGATTTCTAGTGAGTTTAATCGGCCTGATGGGCTACCATATTACATTGACAAAAGGACTAGGAGTCTAGGAGTAGAAGTTAATTCTGACTAAAATTTACTTCACCTCCAAAATGAGATGCTAATTAGTAAGTAGTACATAGAGCTCTAGGGACTACTGTTGTGGCTTGGTCATGCACCTCCATTTGTCCTTGAGATGAGCTGGTTTACGTGTTTCGTGGAACACATTACGTCCCATTTGAAGAATCTTCCTCCATGGCATGTTCTTGTTTATTTCTGCTGAAAATTTCTCCACTCCCATCTAACCAAACAATAGATAGATATATTCAACAAGAAATTTTTATGAGACACTGAAAAAACAGAAACAAATTAGTGTTCATATATTATAATCATATACCCTGAGCATTTCTTCTTCTTTGGGTGTCCAAAGTATTTTCTTTCTCTGATCCTTGTCAAAAAAGGAAAAGTTCCTGCAAATCCCATGAGTTAAATTTACTATTCAACATTTACTGTCCAAAGAAGAGAATATACTCATACTAGGGACCATGTTCCAGTGAATGAGAAGCCAAAAAAAAAAAGGAATAACCTTAGTGGATTTGGCTGAGCAGCCACATTGGTTGCTGCGCCCCGCTCACTTACATCCTCTCCATCTGGTTCCATAGCTGATGAGGTTTCACTATCAGTAGCATTCATTTCAACGTTATCTGCAGCTACTACCCTTTCTTCGTCTTCAGATGACGTTTCAATGTCGTCTTCCATCCCATTATCTTCTTCCATACCAGTGCCCTCATCCTCTGGTTGATGTGAATCCTTGTCAAATTGATCCTGTTTTGGTGAATAAACAACAAGCTGCTCTCCTTGTATCCCTTGATCACTTACAATGCCTTTATCTAGATACTTGTAAACAGCCTTCTCCGCACGGATGGCCTCGTCTCTGAGTGACTTGGATTCGAGTGATACAACTTGGAGCCAGCAATAAGGACAGAATGGATTCGAAAGATCCTCACTACCACCGAACTCAGGAGTCAAACACTTGTCGTGAAACCGAAGAAGACAGTTAACTCCAGAACAACTTGATACCCCATCGTCTGAAAACTGACAAATAATACAAGCATCTGATTTAAGCGGCTCTGGTGGTCCTCTTATATCTTCCCCAAGAGGAAACTGACGCTTCTTGTGAGGCCGTACAGTATCTAAATCAATCTCTCTAGAGCCAAATCTTTCCTGTTATAGAAATATCAACAACTTAACAGAGTTACTAATCTCAAATCCAAATTCTAAAATTCAAGAAACTGAAGCTATCGAGTTTGCCCTAATTTTTCTATTCAGTGAGACGAAACAGTGATGGGGGAGGAAGGTTATGGCTTTACCTGAAGAGGTGGATAGGGATCGAGAGACTTGCGGCGAGATCTCTTAACAGGAAACGATTTCGTCTTCATCTAGAGATCTTCTTCAGATACTGTTCACTGTCATCAACAGTGTCGTCCTCGGGAAGATGCTCCTTTTCAAATCCCTCCCACGCGAGCTTAAGAGGGAAACTTTAACCAATATTGTTTTGGTTCTAATTGGTTTGGTTTGTAACTGGTTTTCTAACGTAATAAACCAAACCGAACCCATAACAGAAGTTTATTTAGATGCAGTTATCTTGGTTAGTTAGTGGGCTTTCTAATGGGCTTTGCCAACCCGCGTAATATGAAACGACGCATTTGAGGAAAGGAACCCAAACGTTTTAAATTATGAAAGACGCATATGCATCAGAGCAAAACAGTTCTCTGATGTCAAGAAAAATTAAATTAAGTCCTAATACATGAATGAAAACAAACTTAACCATGTTTTCCATTTTTCAGTAGACATTTAAGGGAATCTAGGAAACGACATCGAACTTGCACTTGGAGGAAGCTCTGCGGAGCTTTTGGAGATCCGACAAGAGTTTCAGCTTGCTCTCACCTGTTGCCCGAGAATGAACTTCCACATGCTCAAGACATGACAACTTCTCCAACATACACTTCATTTGTATCAATTCTTCGAGCGAACCATAGTAATCACCGGTTATCTTTAACACCTCCAAAGGACACGACACTAGGAAAGAATAGTCCAAGACGCACTCGCAGACTGTGTCTTCTGCGCAGTCCCAAAAACCCCTATAGTGCAAGGGATTCTGCACCAGATGGAAAAAGGATTTTGAGTTTCAACATTTATAATTTAATATCCAAAGAAAATTAAGGGTTTCTTACGTCCATGGTTAAAGTCTTTAGATTTGGAGATTTCTTTATCAGACTTGGCAGAGGAGTCCAACAGAAGTTAGATAAGTTTACCGTCAAAGAATACAGCTTTTCAAATACTGGGAGTATTCCACGGAAGACATTAAACATCTGCAACATATATAACAAGTCATCATCAATCAATCTATTGCATCATATGAATCAAAAAAACTTCAAGTTTTTTTTCAAAGCAATTAATTGTTTATGTTTCAAACAAACACAGAAAAAAAAATCCTAGAGATTTATATAGCAATAATTGGATTATTGTATGTAAATATCAGAAATATAAGGAATTACAATAAAGCATACTCTTTACCTTTGCAGTTTGAATAGTATACAAGTTGAGAGTCTCGACACTTTTCAACCCGTTAAGAAAGTTCACTGGACGGAAACGTTTAGCATCACATTCTTCCCACATGTAATTTTCTTCAGGGAAAAGATAGAGCTCAGCTTCAACAAGGGAACTGAGATTAACGTTTCCATATTCTTTTGGAACATAGTCAAAGTATTTTAAGTAGACAAGACCTGGAGTATCAAAACTAATGCTCTTAAAATCAGAGTCATCAAAACCATCCCACCCTTGTCGTGTAATAGTAAGTCTCTTAAGGCTAAGACTAGACACAATGCGAGACCATTTCCAAAGCTCCCAGTTGATGCCACGCATGGTTAGTTCCTCAAGGACAGGACACGCGTCAAGAAGGGTTTTGAACGCACAACGACCAAACTCGTGGAACCGAATTGCATGAAGAAAGAGAGTTTTGAGAGATGGAAGAAAGACATTTGGTGGGAGGATCTCAATAGAGAAACCAGATCTTAGTGACAGTTTTGTTAATGTCTTGCAAGTGAAAACTTCAAAAGGCAGTGAATATTTTCCATCTTGGTCGTTTATCCAAAGATCAAGTTCGAAGAGACCACGTTTCAGCACTTCACGTAAACAACTGTTGATACGATCATATTGAACAGACTCAATATTATCCTCAGAGTTCCATCTTAAAGAGAACTTGCTTACACGGATATGTGATGGTAGAGCCATTACTCGACCCTCAAAGTCCTTGATATCCTCCTTGGAGCCATCAAAACGAAGATGATAATGTATGATGGAAGATAGAATATGCCACCTTTTAGAGAGAACCGTGGTGAACGCAACCTCCTTTGCCGAGAGGAATGACCCGATGTGGAAAATAATCTCGTCTGGTAGATTGCTGATTCGATCCATACTTGAAGAAGCAAACCCTAGAAAACGTTTCACGAAGTGAAAACTCCCTAAGCCTTATATATGTAAAGATTATGCATGTTAAGCTAGAGAGAAAGACTAAGGCATTGTTCAAAAAAAAAAAGAGAAAGACTAAGGCCCATACATGTAAAGATTATGATATATATAGGCCCCATAGAAGAGACTAAGGCCCATAAATGTTATGTATTTTGTCCAGAGAAGAATACTAAGGCCCACAATTGTGAAGACTATGATATATTGGATCAGAGAAGAAGACTAACCCATAAATGTAAAGATTATGATATATTGGGTCAGAAGACTAATGCCTATAGTGTAAAGACTATGATTTATTAGGCCAGAGAAGAAGACTAATGCCCATAAATGTGAGCTAGGAGTAGGCTAGCTGGTATGGTTTGAGTTCCACCGAATGGAGTTTGATGTAGCTACGAATGTCTTCTACTGCTATTTTATAATTTCTAGTGACATGTCTCTTCATCCCCAATTTTATTTTTTTAAACGTTCATATTTGCATTTTAGATATATTATATTCAATGGTAGTTGGATAACTCAGACATTTGTCAACATGTTTCGCTTGGGTAACTTGTACGGGACTTCAGATTGGAAAACTGGATCTAGTTTCTGTCACGCACTAAACATAATATATTAGCTATGGTTGGGTGGAGTGGACTAGTTACGCTTGTTTTTGTTGCCTGTAAGTCGATATATATTATGTAAAATTAAATACTCCATTGCTGCTCGTCTGACCAAAAGCCAAGAGCACCCCCATCAAAGGATGATGGGGGAGGTTCACACACAAACCAAGAAAAAAAAACAATAAAATAATGTAAAAGTTGTGAATCTGGACTTTAGAAGTTCATGACAGTGAATCTAGTTCACTACTGTTTCGTGGGCCCCACGCCATGTGACGACCCACGATTGGTTACTTTTTTCTTTTTTTTAAAAAAAAAGATAAAACGAAAATAAAAAAATAATAAAAAATTCAGTTTGTGAACCCCAAGTCTAATACCTTATTATTTTATATTAAGTTTTCAAAAATTTCAATACGTTATTGAGTATAAAAATAAATAAAGTGGTATATTAAACAAGTAATAAGTACACATGATAGGCTCACATGGATACACACTGACATCATCATATTCATATACCTGGCCACGACTGATCCTCTTTCCAATGTCTCCAACATCCTATACATCACGTGCTCTTTTTATTTAAACTTTCCCCCTCGATTTTCTTACATTTTCCAATCACAACTTGTATGTCAATTAGACAACGTTCACCCAAATCAAGCTCAAAATAAACCAACAATTCATTAAAATCAAATTATAAAGAGGCTAAGTATTTACTATGGTCGAACCAAATTGTTTTCATAATAAATGCCTTGTTTAATTTAACGAGGCTATCAGCACGACAGGTTTCATTTCCAGGACTTGTCATTCAAAAGAACATACTAAAAATGTATATTGACTGGTTTAGTCAGCATATATGTGCGTGTATGTGTGTATTCAAGAGGGAGATGATGATGCTATTTTTAATAAAATAGGTTGCAGCTTGCATAGTATTCCCTGTGACGTTCAGTGATTATTCTGAAACCCAAATGCTAGAATGGCAGATAAATAATTGCATAGCAGTTTTTAAGATCTCTCTCTCTCTACTATTTTAAGAACTTGGAAGAATTTGACCAAACCCAACTAGTTTCCTAAATCTGGTCAAGGTACAAATAAATGAATTTGTTCCAATAATAAATGAATAAAAACCACCCATCTTTCAGATTATTACTAAACTAAATCATTCTCTATCTAATTTCACTAATTTAAAGTTTAAACCATACCAATACCACACTATACGGCATCCAAACTTTGTAGATAAGGATTCCTTGGAATATTAACTTGTTGTGTCAGACTCACGTATCCATTGATTATAATCTGACAAATCTAAGAGGAATTATTATCTACTAGAATTCATATGCGTGTCACATTTATAATGGAGCAGTGATTTTAATTTTAATCCGACACTAAAAAGCATTATCTTTGCAGAAGTAAAGACAATAAACTTGAAAGAGACGAATAATTAAAGTGACAAAAAAATTCTAACGGAATTTTATTACATGCATATATGGATAGATAGATACATAACTGATTTTTAAATCGCCCGGGAACGGAGTCGTTTCCACTTTCTTGGTTCATAAATTTCCCGGTTTAACCATTTAACAACTAAGTGCTTCGTATTTCATTGGTATCGGTTGGTTAAAACCGGTCCTAGATAATAAACTCCCAACCGCAGCGAGATCTCGACAGAAAACTCCTTGATACGCGTTTGAATTTCCCGGTTTAATATCCGAGAAACCGTTTATCTTAACCGAACCAGGTTTCTCAACCGGTTCGAGTTCTTCAACCACTTTCGTTGACTTCGGAGTCAACACAATAGTCTTCTTCCTCTGTTCCTCCTCCGCTATCGTCGCCGTCAAAACAGAATAACCTCTCTGAATCAAACGGTAAAGCAACAACGAAGCCATACTCGCTCGATCTTTAACAGCGATAACCTCCTTCTGATCAGCGAAGTCACACCGATCAATAAACAACAAAGCCTTATCAGGCTTATGTCTGAGAGTCAACAAAAGATTCGCTCTGTCAAGCTCCGACCTCGTGCATCCACGTCTAACTCCGATCAAACCATACCAATCAACGTTCCCAATCTCTCCATTCGCAATCTTCCCTTTCAAAAACTTCGACTTCGTCGTCAAAACGCATAACTTCCCCGGAATCTCTCTGTACTTCACGTTGTGTCGTTTCCACGGCGGTCCGGGGAGTTTCCGATCACGCAAGATCGTGTTGTAAAGAATCTTCAAGTGCTCCAAATCGTGAAGAGAGTCAGGCAAACACCGAACCGTCTCCAAAAGCGCAGCTCTCGTCTCCAACGCGTGGATACACGACGGCTCGAGAGCCAAAGTTTTATTACAGTCGGCGATCGCCTCCGCGATTTTTCCGGCGGATCTGTACGCCGCCGCGCGGTGCATGTAGCAATCGGCGAGGAAGCCTTGCGGCGCGGGACGACGGCGTCCCTCGAGGATTTTGGAGAAGTGGCGGATTGATTCTGAGTAGTGTCCGGCGTCGAATGCGGCGAATGCGGCGGCGCGGCGACGGAGGAGGACTTTTGTGTGGGCGAGGAGGCGGGAGACGGTTTCGCATTCAGGGAGTTTTCCTGGAGGAGTTGGAGCAGCGGAGGATTGTGCCTCGGTGTCTGAGAGAAGGAGACAGAAGCTGTCTTCGGACAAGCATACACTCTGACGACGGAACTCGGCGGTTGCGAGACGTTTTCCGGTCTGAAGAAGGACCAATGCGTCCTCCATTAGTCCTAGGTGGCAACAAGCTTGTCCCAATACAGCATATCTGAAAATAAAAGTAATTAATATAACTATTATTTTCATAAAATATTAAACCTTCTATATATTCATAATGAGACAATTAAATATAACTACTATTGTAATAAACAAATAAAAAACTTCAATATATTCAAAACTATAAAATTAATACATTTTTTTGATCAAAAATACAATCATTATTTTCATAAAAATAAAATCAAGATATTGAAAACAAAAAAATACAATATATTAATTACATAAATATTCAAACTTTCAATATAGAAAAAAATAGTAATTTACCTCCACTGTTGTTTTTCCTTATCGGCATTTCTACAGATCCCTGCCATTACTTTCTCCTTTAAGTCACAAAGAGAGAGGCACGTGAAC